GTGGCTGAAGTGGTGCAGGGGTGCAGTGTGGGTTGCCTACCTTTCTACAAATGCTGATATACTTTCCTTTGGTTTTCGTCCTCTTCACTGGAGACTGCGTTAGATAGCAGACTAATTGTTCTCTCAAGGCTTGTCGAAGGATTTCAAGACCTTTCCGCCATGGAAATACCTTTTCAATCCACTCCGAACTGCTGCTTCTTCTGGTGATCAGACTTATCGGCAGGACTTGATGAACCGGTGGCCGGCAAATGCGGGCGTCGGGCTCGCGTGCTCGCGTCCTAAGGGTAAGGGTGGTCCTGGCTCCACAGGTGGTCTGTGCTGTGGTAGTCGGTGGTCCCCTCCCCTTTCCTCCCTGGCGCCAGTGCAGTGCATCCCTCTCCCTCCCCCCCCCCCCCCCCCCCCCCCCCCCCCCCCCCAACAGCCCCGTCGCGCGCGACGGATGCCCGACGGGCGGTCACCTGACCTCCTATTTCCCTCTCCCTCTTTCCGTTCGTGTCGTTCTCGCTCTTACACACTAGCTCACGATATTTCTCTCTCGCATCTCGTGCTCTTTGTCGGTGTGTCTCTCTTGCACCCCCTTCCCTTCCAAGCCCCTTCTCCAAGACGGAGAAGGAGAAGAAGCGAGACGAGGCCCTGCAGCTGCAGCTCCTGCAGCATCAGCGTGTTGCTTTTTCATTCTCGCCCCGTCTGTTTGCTTGTTGTTGCATTCTTGGTGGTAGAGGCGCCGCCTCCGCTGTTCTGCGAATTTTTCGATCAGAAATCGTTCATGCACGATATAATTTGAATTCCTCCGCTGATAATTTGTTGCAGTCGTTTTAAAGAAAGCCAACAGGTATGTCTGGAGTTTTGTGCTCTTCTGCTGTGGGCATTGTGTGTGTGTGTGCGTGTGTGGATTTTACTGATTTTACACCCTCTTATTATGTATGCCACATTTTGTTGTTTTATTTGTTAATTATAAACATAAGCCAGTTGATAAAAATAAAAATGTTATTCATACCATTTTCTGTTTTGTCATAACCACAAACGTATCATTTAAAAGAGTCACTAGTAGATCATAGATTTTGTACCTTGACATTTTTTGAGTAATTAAATCATTTTTTCTGTTTGCAGAATGATCTGGAAATCAGGACTTGTGGCCTCACTTTTCATTCTGTGGGTCGGTATAGATGATTTTTTGGGCCCGAATTCCGTTGACAGTTGTAATGAAGCTGTGTGTGCAAGCATTGTGAGTAAATGTATGTTAACTCAATCATGCAAATGTGATCTCAAGAACTGCAGTTGCTGCAAAGAATGCTTTAGTTGCCTCAGCTATCTGTATACAGAATGCTGTTCATGTGTTGGTATGTATTGAGCTTTAATCACCTCTCTTTTGGTCCAGTTAACTATTTTTTAATATATTTTAACGGATTTATTTTGGGGCAGAAATGTGTCCCAAGCCCAACCAGACAAACCCCAATGCCTTAAGTAAGAGGAGCCATGTGGAAGAGTTTATAGAACCTATCCCTGAACTATTCCAAGCTCTGATGGGCTCAGAGCCAGATGCCCAGGAACGATGGATCACAGTGACATTCCCGATTGATGTTGAACTGAACAATGCTCATTACAAGCCAAATCTTGAAAAGGAGATCAAATATCGCACCCGTTAGTGATTAGCTTGATTTATATTTGATGAAATATAAGCATTTTCACTGAGGAAATAATAATAATACTAATAATTGATTTTTTAATACAGAATTTTCTGAACAAGAAGTAGTTCCAAGAAAGGATGTTGCAACATTCAATTGTACTGTAGCATATATGAGTCAGTGCATGTCCTGGAACAAGTGTAAAGAGGCATGCCAGTCCACTGGTGCATCAAGTTACCGCTGGTTCCATGATGGTTGCTGTGAATGTGTAGGTGCAACATGTATTAATTATGGTATCAACGAAAGCAGGTATGAAATCCTACCTTATTATTCATACTACATGTTTGTGCTATTTTTTTCCTGTTCCTATGTATATTTCTTTTTAAAATCTTGAACAGATGTCTGAGGTGCCCTCTGGAGAAGGATTCCCTTATTCCTGATGATGATCCTGATAGTTTGATTTATGATGATGTTGACTATGATGAACCAGCATCTGCAGCTGTTGCTGCAATGACATCTCAATCAAGTGGTGTTTTGGGAACGCATTTGCCATGATAGTGATTTTGTTGATTTTTTGTTCAAACACATGGATTTTAAATCTTTCCAACCATATTCTAGGTAAACAGGAATGTGATATGCTTCTTAAAATTATTCAGACCATCAAAATATTCAGATTTTCAGTATTTGCTAAAATAGTATTCTTACCATTAGTGTTGCCATCCTTGTCTGGAAATTTAAATTTAATCAAGTAGACTGTAAATAATTAGTGGTGGTATTAGTGTAAGTTCTTATTCCATTGAAAACTGGAATCCCATTTTTCATTTTAGTGACCTGTGTGCAGGCACACTAATGTTATACTAAGGTAAGTTATTCCGTCCTTTTTTATTACTTAAGTGTTAAGGTTTGATTTTACTTTTGAACATCTTAAGCTCCCTTAGCTATGTTGAGGGAGCAATTTATCATGGCTTGACTCTTCATGAGGCAATTGTGATAATTTTAATTAATCTAGGTAGAACTTGACTGAAACAGTTAACACGTTCAGTACAGTGTTTCTCCAACCCCCATGATGCCCAGCCGCACTGAATGTGTTAAAACATGTTGGTAGGAATAATTAAGTGATAAGCCCTTGAATTTTACATGGAAGAGATTTCAGTTGCTGGAAGTTACAATATGAAGGCTGCTTTACAGTATCTTCTCTTATTGTAAGCTGTGCCATACAGTACTGGGTAAAAGCCCGAAGAAATTTAACTGAAATGTGAAAGCATTCCTTGACTTATTTCTGTGGTACATTTTAATCTAATTGAGAATGAAATATAAGCCATTGTCATAGACCTGATATCTTGTAAAATAAAATTGAAATCCCACTGTTTTGAGTTTTGATATGCTTGTTTGTTTTCTAGCGGATGTTGCATATCCATGCTATTGGTTAGATGAAAAACGTAAAGACTGAAAGTTATGATTCTCTGAAAATCCTGTATTTTGTATAATATTTCTACAAAGTGACAATAGTATTTGTATTGCAGTATTTCAACAGACAAACTTAAGCTGATTCATAATAATGAATAATGTAAATGAACAAAACATTTTACTGGATCAAACATGTTAAAGCTTCAATGGTGTGAACTGAGCAGCAAGTGTCCGCAAATATGTTTTAAGCCAATATATAAAAAAAATAAAAAAAATAATGACTGCACATAAACATTGAAGTCTCTTGTGAATTAGAATTCAATAAAGTAAAAATTAATCTCCCCTCAAAATTGGTTTGATCTAGTCATAAGCCCCATATTGCGTCACGTGATCTCAATTTTGAGGAGGGACTCCACATTAAAGTATAGTATTATCATAACTAGGCAAGTATATGGGCAGTCAAATGGTGTTTCTGACAACACCTTGATTGCAAGGGTGATTCCGTCTTCCAATTAATGAACTTCACGTATTGCTCATTCACCTTTCAAAGTTTTCTTTTTAGTTTGTTGTTTTACAGCACAATTACATGTAATAGGCTAAGGCCTAAAATCTCAGACTAGATAATACAGCTGCCTTAAATATCTGACTGTAGATTCATTAATGATTTGAGGAGAACCTGGATGGCCGAAAGCAATAAATGAATCCTGGGGTCACAGCCAAAGTAGAAATCATTTTGATTTTGTGCTAACTTTTAAATAAGAATTGTATCAATAAAAGATGGCTCTTAAAATGCTCAAGTAAAGAAAAAAAAGTAACTTTTTTTTTTTTTTTGCTTTTGTTTTTTTCGATTGATAATCATATGATGAGCATAGTTACATACATAACACATGGTTTCGGTGCGACTGACCGGCATGAAAACAGAATAAATTCAAATCCAGATAAAATCTTTGAATGAAGTAAAACTAGTAGACAAACTACAGTAACATCACAAAAGAAAAGGTGAGTTCTTAAAGCAAACACATACTGAATGTAGGAACACAATACAAACAACTAGGAAGAATAAGTATAAAAAATGTAATACTAGGATTGAACCAAATGTGCGCATGATTTATAAAGGACTAGAGTAATTGCAGTCAATGTTTCCAGGCATGTATCAGAGCTTATAAATAGTAAGTTGTAGGGGGAAGATCTCAGTTACCCTTAAGAAACCATTTACTAATTATAGGTTTATTATTATAAGGATATTTTAGAGGGAGAAATAAAATTATAATCACGAACAAAGGCAACCCCTCAAGTGAAATTGGGCTTTCCTTTTGATCTACTTTTTCATATGATCTATTAATTTGTTGCGAATTTTAAGCTGAAACAGGAGACTATAACAGCTTTATGTCAATGCTCTACCTAAAATCCAGAGAAACAAAAAGATTAATCAAGAATTAAAGTACAAAGGACGCTCCCTCAAAATAGGAGAAAAAAAATTAGACATTTCATGCAGATACAAGAAGCATTAGGCTTTCAGTATTTTGTTCTTTTTAGTCAAAAAAGAAGGATATAAAACAAGCCAAACCTAAAAACTTATTGTTCCGCTCAATTTTTTCTATTACCATCCTGATAAATTTAATCCATATTTCAGGACTTTTTTAGATAAGAAAACTTGTACAACATACAGGGTGGTTGATTCGCGCCGTCTTTTTTTCCCCAGTTAAACTATGTGGGATTCAGGTGTGCGAGAGGGCTTGCCTATTATTGCCCATACTGTGGCGACTTATGACTCAGTGTGAATATGTCACCTATGTCACCTGTCCGTACACCTGAATCTGGTTCAGTATAACTAGAAGAAAAGGATTGTGCAAATCACCCACCGAGTGTAACACAAGAAGACTAAACCTTAAGAATCAAACAACATTCCCCCATTTTTGAGTATTCAAGTTTAGTGAGTATTATATTTCATACTTTAAAGGTAATTACCAGTACTTTAAAGCAATTAAGGGTGAAATAGTTGTCAACATGGCACAAACTTTATAATAAGATAATTAAAAAGAAATTTAAATTACAGCAACAACCAACTGGTACCAAGAATGGTTCCTTGGTGAGATCTACCAGTTATTGCAGCTCAGACAGTACAGTATTGTTGTAAAGAATCTTTCCAATATCAATTTAACTTCAGGAGAATGTGCCCTTTGAGCGCTGTGAGCGAAGTTGGGACAGGGAGAGGGAGATTATAGACACTTTAGCAAGAGGCAAGTCTCTCACAGACTTAAGGACAAGCCGTCAAAACTTACAGTTGTCATAAGTGGATCAGAGCACATTCACTTAAGCAGCAATGTGGGTTAAAAGAAACCTGATTACATTTGTACTTAATGTATATTTATATAGTTTTTTATACTTATTCAAAACACATACAACTGCAAATACTGTATACTCACGTATTCTGTTCATAGATAAAAGCTAAGTACAAAAGATTATTGCATACCTGAGGGTTGTGGGACCAGCCCACACTAAGTCAAAAGTTTTCCATCTTCTTCTTTTGATTGATAATTAAGATAATGAAAATAAAAAAAAAAACACAAATGAATGGCAATGGATGGATTATCCCTTTACTTAAATTAAATCTTCATAATCTTAATATCTGCTGCAACCACAGGAAACACATGACATGACATTTGGACATACCCCACTTATTCTTCCTCACCAAGTACATACCAATGAACATAATAAGTGTTTTGTAGCAAGACCAAAACCAAAAACAACTTGTTACTTCTTAAAAATTTAGAAAAAAAAGTAAATGTAAAAAATTGTAGGAAAGAAAATCACTAGAGGCAAACCCTCTAAAACATACAGACTTATTTCAAATAGAATAGAAAAGCAAAGCCTGTATGTTATTACACATGGGACCTGCCCATTCTCAATGATCTCAACGTGGGACCTGCCCAACGAATACGAAAACATAACAATGATAATTCACTGTGGATAACGTTGACTGTTGGGACTCCCACGAGGACTTATAGGATATTCACGAAGCTCGCTGTTTTCAGGAAGTTTTATGAATGGTAGGTCTGCACCACTCCACATTGAATATAAATGTGATCGATTTTCCTAGAAAAGAAAAGTCCACATAGAGACTCACATATCTTTGAAATTTAGGAACACTAATTTCATGTTACATGAAAATAACTGGTTTGCAAACAAAGATCAGTTTTCCTCTCACCATTCCAGTATCTGAGCTGGAAGTTGAGCTTCTATGCAATGAGAGAGATGAAGACAAAGATGAGGAGTCAGAAGAGCTGCCTTTACGAGCAATGTCTGGTGGGTGATGTTGAGAGCCAACAGAGCTGGACTCAGTCCACCTAGAATACAACCAGTTTACCATCAAAATAGGTATAGCTTTTTTAAAATTTATTAAGCACGCACTAAAAGCAGAATAATGCTCACCCCATTGCAATATGGGACTGGTGTGTTGGCTGCTGATGGGAAGTATTTTGTTGCCCACTTTGATGTTGGTGTGGGGATAATCTTCCTGGACTTGTTCCCAGACCAGCTGGAGAACCACTTCCATGGCGTAAACTCATTCGATCTTCATTTGGACTTCCCCCAGCCGGGCTCACCCAAGTTGGTTGGTGACTTGGAGATGGGCTGTTTTGACTGCAGCCTGTCAAAGTTACACCTACAAAGACAAAATAGTAGATAAAAATCAAAGCAGATTAAAATGAGTCATAATGAAGCTGTTGAGCAAGAAGGACCACTTGTAAAATATCAAACATCACCTAAGGATTAAAACCTAAAATTAAAGATTGGATCATTAAGTCTAATAATTATCTAGTAACATACAAAGTGAATGTGGGTACCTGGAATATGGTGGCTAGGCTGGTGCAATTGTAGTGGTTGATTAGGTTTGCATGATAAAAGAGAAATCACATCTGAAAGTTCTTCTTGACTAGCCATAGACGTTTGCCACAAAGATTCTGAATTAAAATGAAAAGTCTAAGTTGTATCCATGTTTGATTAAGAACCAACAGAACATGCTTCATCCAGTTTTTTCAATGAAAATAAAATTGTGAATATAATATAAAACAAACCTGGAGTTGTTGATCTGCTTCTTTCTTGTGATGCAATACCTCCCGGGACAGTCAATTTGTCCTTTTGATACAACCGACCAGTCCACTGACCATGCTGCTCATTCTGACCACTAGAATCCCATGGCATTGACCAACGTCGCATCCCTCCATCCTCAGCTGTAAGTGTATCACCGATTCCAGACCCTGATACTTCACGAGCTGCTGCTTCTGACCAACGTCTTTGAGGACTCTGAAAAAATTAATGATTTTTAATAACTTTTTAAATGTAACTACACAATGCAAATACTACTAAAAGTGAGAGATGCAGAATTCAAAACATTACCTGGAGAGGCCAGAGAGGAAAAAGTAGAGGACTCCTAGATGTTGGAGTTGATGGCACATACAATCGATTGAAATAATGTTGAAGAGTAGTCACAATACAATCAGAGTCATGAGCTTTTTGCTGGTTTGAATCTCCGCCCACACAACAGTGACAGGGTGCCATCATTCCCAAACATTCACAGCAGGCCATGCAAAATTGATATTGGAGACTTATCATTGTCATTAAGCTGTGACATACTACTGCTTGTTGGGCAGGTGCCAGCACCTATAAAGTTGATATACTAAAATTATACCCCCCAAAAGCAAACACCACCACCACCAACTACAACAACAACAACATTTTGACCATCAGATTAAGGTTGCAACAGACATACCTGTCCAGCCTCTTGGTTGGATGCAGCTCCCGGACTTTGACCATTCAGCTCCTGTAGTGCCTGCACTACCTGAGAGCGAATACTGCTACTTGTAGCTGCTACCACTTTAGATAGGTCATCCCAAGCAGCTTGGCATTGTACAGCTCTCCCTCCACAGGCAGACTGATGCTCTGGGGGAAGGAGGGAGCCCAGGCTGTGTGACAAGCGAGAGCCAGATCCACATAGGGCATTCAAATTCTAGAATGAAAGAAAGCCCTTTTTAAAGTAACAGGATAGCACGAGAGATCAAGGATATCATTGAGACTTGAAAGATTATAGTTTACCTGAAGATATGAGAGCCATCCTGAAATACATTCATTTATGTCTTTTGAAGACACTTTCCCAGAAATTTTGTCTCCATGGGATGGTGAAATATCACCACAATTCTCAGAGGTCACCATAAAACCACTAGAAAAGACACCCAAATACAACAAACTATTCACTATCATAACAATATGAAATGCGTTGCTTTACCTGTCACATAAATCCATGGAGAGAAGATTATGGTGTGCCAAATGCTCAGTATGGGCTCGAGCATAACTTGCACTTCGGGCTGGAGGTGGTTTACTGTTCCCTGCATGCTGTTTCATTTTAAACACATTGTTGGAAAGCCACAGCAACACCCCCTCGTATTTCCCCTGGAAGTCTTCTATCTGGCATCTTCAAACTCCTTGAAAAAACAGACATAGGCTCAAATATATACTTTTGGATTTTAAGTGACTGCAAAAACACCGCAAAACAAACAAACATATTTTTTTAAGCAAATAAATATTGAGTAGATACAAAGAAAACTACATACAATTGACTGAATAAAGGAACACATTAATGAGAAATAGAACTAAATTTCATAAGAACGGTAAAAATTTCAAACAATGGAAGAAGGTAACTCTAACTCTCAGCTACACGAAGAGTGGTTGACATCTAAATTAAATTACAGCAGTATTGTGCAAGTAAAAGTCTGCGTTGCAAAGGCAATAGGCAGAGTGGATTATATACATGTAGATGAATGGGTAAAAAGGTAAAAGTATTTAACCGGAAGATGGGCAAAAACGTTTACAGACACTGCTGCTGTCATGGTGTTTACATTGGATAGCCCGAAGGAGTCAGCAGAAGCAGAAGGAAAGTACCTCACATTTTGAAGGGATAAATTACGACTTTAACGTCAAAATAATGGTTTAGAAAACAAGTTAAACGTAAGTAGAGGTAATGCGGAGGAAATTCATCATCAGTGAGAGCCCCGAAAATACGCTGAAAATTAAAATAAACAATATTACACTTCTAGCTAGTGTGTATTCTCACCTTCCTTGTTCGGTGCCACTGCCAACTTCAGCATCCAAAAGAGAAAAACAGACGGAGCGCCAACCCACCAAGACTGTTTTGTTTAGGTTTCGACCTGCATATTTGTTTTGATAACAGTGACTGTCCTTTATAGTGCTTTGAAGTTCGTAAAGAAGAACTCTGATTTCGTTCAAAAATGGCTGGTTCAGCTCTTCGTCGACTTATGGCAGAATATAAACGTAATAATTATGATGTGTCATGAGTGTGTTGAATTTATAGGTTAGACGAAGAGTATCAAAAAGTTTTTCAATCTGTTTTAGAATTGACACTCAACCCGCCTGAAGGAATCATTGCTGGACCGATCAATGAAGAAAATTTTTTTGAGTGGGAAGCTCTAATAACGTAAGTGGGCTAATCATATTAATAACTCATTCTGTTGTGTTTGCTTTCACTCTTATTCTGTTTGTGTTCTTCCCCCTTTTTTTCCTGCTATTTCAGAGGACCAGAAGGGACGTGCTTTGAAGGTGGTGTGTTTCCTGCAAAGCTGGTATTTCCGTCTGATTATCCTTTAAGTCCTCCCAAAATGCAATTTACTTGCGAGATGTTTCACCCCAACAGTAAGTCCTTCACATATGGCATATTGATATAAATAATTACAAAATGCCCTATCCAATATATTCTGATTTCTTTTTGAAGTATACGCTGACGGAAGAGTATGTATATCAATACTTCACGCTCCTGGTGATGATCCTATGGGCTACGAATCAAGTGCTGAGCGTTGGAGTCCAGTTCAAAGTGTTGAAAAAATCTTACTGTCTGTTGTCAGCATGTTAGCAGGTAACTTCAATACAAGAAAGTCTCAGCTCTACTTCAATGAAAATTTTCATTGTATATTGCTCATAGGTCTCTTAAAATACCAAGGCAATTGACCATTTCACTCGGCGGACGCACTGGCGGTCTTCTGGTTTGCACATCTGTTTGTGGCTCTTGGAGGCAGCCTAATATGTGTTATCTGGTTGGCGACGGGCTATCTGACAACTAAGCAGCGATCAGGAGTCTCATTTAATTAAATATTCCAGTCTTTTACTAGATCATAAAAGACGTTGTACCAACCGGAAGACCGCCAGTGTGGCCACTGGGTGAAATGGTCAATTTCCCTAACTTTTGGGATATATCTTAATTAATAATTGCTACCATTTTTGTTTCTCGATTACAGAGCCTAACGATGAAAGTGGTGCTAACGTTGATGCTGCTAAAATGTGGAGAGAAGATCGTGCCGAGTTTAATAGGATAGCTGAAAAAATTGTTCGGAAAACTTTAGGCCTCTCATAATAACCTGTTGTTGTTTTTGATTATGTAAGTTAAATAATTGTTATCTTACTGGTTAGTGTAATAAGAAATACTGTTTCAACATCTAAATTGAACTATTTTACATCATACAGTATCACATTCTCCTCATAAAATTACATAAATCGTCATCTATAAAATCTAATTGAGATATTTATTTGTTGTTTTTAAGGTTCAATAGAAGTAATGTTTGAATGGCTGTGAGGTATTTTATTTTTAATCAGTTGCAGCTGCACTCAGCTACTAATTTCTGTCTGCAATTATTTCACAGAAGTCAATGGTGTGTCTAGTTTGTTCTCTGAAGATCAAGATCTCTTGTAAATTTGTATGTATGTGAAATGAACTTCAGCCAGTTGTGTCTAAAAAACTGCTCTAATTGTTTGAAATATTGGTGTGAAATAGGGCGCGTATTGACTTCCTTTTTCAATTTTATTGTGGGTGGTTATCGATAAATGGCTTTCCAATTACGTTTATTAGTTTTTAGTTAGTTAAACCTCAATGTACATGTCAACATAAAATGTACAACAAAAGGATACAAATTTAAAAATTGAGGAACAACTGTTAGAATAAATTAACTGATGTATTGTTTTGCGCAAGGTACACTTTCTCAAAAATAAATCACTACAAACAACAGCATGGTGTAGATGTTAGGCAGAAATGTGCAAGCAGCACACACAAAAACACAATTACTAAGATAACTACATCCATTGATCCCTAACAAGTTTTCACTAGTGACTCTAAACAGAATATAGACTGTTTAACAATAGACAATATGTTTTGCAGGGAAATTCATTAAAATAGTCTCTAGCTACAGATATGGACCCTAACAATTGGGGAAAGGTATAAAGAAAGGGACGGGGTTTATGTTATATACTTTAAAACAAAGTACACAATTTGAAAGCTATTAAACATTTCAAAATATCCAGATTCCACATTCACAATCTCACAAAATAAAGTTGTTCTTTTTAGGATCTATGAAATTTAAAAATAAAACAAGAAAATGAATGGAAATGTATGGATTCTTTTTATAAAACCTACAATAGGTATGTGTTTGCTTTAGAGTTGAAATTTGCTCTCCGTAATCTTCTTCCTTGTTCACATAAGAATGAAAAGTTTATCACGATAAATCATGAATGTTAGGTACACAGGAAGTCTATTGTCAATAAAATGCACTTCTGGCTTGCATATTAAATGTAAAGGTATACAAAGACTTAAGACAGACATTTCTTATCAATTGTTGTCAGCTGTTCATCTGAAAACAAAACAAAACAAAAAAAACAACAAAAAAAACTCCTTATTTGTTTGTTGTTTAGAACAAACAAACGAAACAACACTTCATAAAAAGCAGGGAAAGAGGGACACTCTCACTAAATAGAACGAACAGCATCTCAAAGGTCAATATATGACTCACTTCAGTCAAAATTGCTGTTAGTGCTCAAAAGAACTTGGTTAACAGAATGAAACCAGTTTCCAATAAACTACAGTTTCTATCACCAAGTCACACTTTAACTACACACTGATTTAGGAATGGCACTTTCACATGAAAGAGGTACTTCATGGCAAACAATGACATAACAGTTGTTGTTTTTTCCTTTTCTAAACCTACAAATTACCTAATAGGATTAATTTTATACATAATATTATTGTAGTAAAAGTCGTGAGACATAAACTTCCATAACTTATAATTACTGACTAAATTGGCATAAATATTGACAAGATAATAAAGTGTTTACATCACATTCTAGTTAACACTCATACTAGCTACACTTCAGATCTGTTTGCCAATCACATGAAAAAATATAGCATGACACTCCACTGCACACAGGACACGGTTCTTAACATCATCACAATTATAAGACCCCTGATCTTTTAAATGCAAGCTAGTTGATGAAGCAAAACCATCACAGGGAAATGCACACATGCACAAATATTGTCTTCAAACTGTGGTCAAAGTTGTAAGTTAAAACAGATTTACTACACCTACTGCATTTGAAACGAATTTCAATTCAGATTGAGATATGACGTAAAAGAGGCACCACATTAAAACTGATTGAGACAAAAATAGGAGCAGGAGAAACCTATACATGGAAAATTAGAAACATTTGCAAAATGTTTTCCTTAAAAGTTTGTTACTCATACTTTTCTCAAGTAACAGAAGAAGTAATGAACTCTATCAAGATCAGCCAATACACAGGAATGTAACAAAATGAATGCTGACAATATTGCAAAATTGTTAAGTAAAAGCCATGAGAAACAATAAAAAAGAAACTTCAAATAAATCACAGAGCACATAATTTTAAAAAAAGAGAGAAAAAAAGATAAACAAAGAAAGTAAAATACTGATTAAAAAATCAAAAATCTTGGATCCTTAAAGGATTGAATTAAGCAACAGGTCCAAGATTGAATAAAGACATTTATCATGTGTTTCGCACAAGAGTGGAAACAACACCATTTCATTCGTATCAATCATCAGTTCTTAGAAGGTACTCCAGTGAAAACGACAATGTCTAATGCCACAAGATACAACTGTAGCAGGTCGACAGGACAAATCTCTTCCAGAGCCATGCAAGAAAACATACGTATTACATATATGTACACATCACAATGAGTGAACACTTAACAGGAACTTCTGCAAGAGCATTGTAATAAAATCCACACACAGGGAGGGGATATAAAATATAATAAAAATGGTAACAAAGACTTTAACGTAAAAGAATAAACCACAGTTTTCAACATCAAAAGCAAGCTTCTTTAAAATGAAGAATAAATATGCTGCCTTGCACATGCATTTGTAATGCACATTTTAAAGTCTGCCTGGGAAACAGACCAGGAGTAATTAGCAGATTAATTATAAGCATAAATAGTAAAACTTTTTTTCAGTACCTGTTTTATACATCATTATTCATGTAAAAGCTAAAATAGTTTGGAATTCATCTATGTACAGGGACTAGCTTTTCAATCAACAAAACTTCATTTTCCATATGAATGGTCACAATATTTACAAACAATGACAATAATACTTCAGATCACTTCAAATAAAATAGCTTTAAATAAATGCATAGGAAAATGCCAGTTATACTTTCACAACATGTGTGTCAGCAGAAATCAGACTGAGAGAATTTATCAGTAAAGAATGCACATGGCCCAGACCAAAGTGTCCAATGCATTACTATTACGAACTAGTGAAATTACAACATCATAAAGTATCATGAAAAACTGATCAATAATTTCATTTGATTATGTCAAGCTCAGGACACGTATGCTGGCAACTTTTAAGAGAGCTTTCATCAGACTGAGACAAGAATTATGAAAACTATTCCAGGTAAGTGACTTTTTTTCTTTCCAACAAGAAACAGCCACATTATTTAAAAAGTAATGCAAGAAATGATACTCCAAAAATGTTGGTAAGACTGGCATACAGTACAAAAGGTTTTACTCAACCAGACCATGGAAAACACCAAATCAGAGCATCAAATTCTAACTTAACAAAATGAAAAACAACATGTATTTTTGTCAAGAAAAACAGTCTGGCATAATAGTGTTTTTGACACATACGCAGACAAAAAGGAAACAAAGCAGGCTGGAAGAGAGTAAAGAAATCTTTACCTAACGATCAACAAAATCGCTAGAACATATTATGGCTTCTTTGTGTTCCAGCATTAACAACATTTGCACATACTTTGGTTCGCACTGGATAAAAGGCCTTACTTTTTCACCTACTTTATGACACAGTATACTGCTATACATATATAACAATACAACAAGCAATCATTCAACACACCAAAAGAGGAATTTGTGTCTACAGGTGCAGATCAAAATGAAATCTAGCTTTTATTGCTTAGAACCTATCACACAGCTAAAGTCTATCATATTACTCTTGCACTAACTTCACAGAAACAAGCAACTGACTGAACCTAAATCTCAATATGACTGACTTATGGTAACTTATGCTCACACTCATGTAGTGATAACTAAGAATTTCCGGTTGAGTTCCGGTTAGATCCTCGCAAAGTAGCATAGCATCCCTGGCAAACCCGCACTGGCTTCAGGATTCGCAAGCGAGAAATTTCACTTTCAAACCTACTGCACCTGCAACAGAACAGATAATGAGAGAATGGTCAGCAAAGTTCAAACATAGGAGAAAATATACTTTTGATTTAGTATGTAAAACTTACTTAGAACAGAAAACTTGGCCACAATTTCGACAGTGATGCCTGCGTTCATATAAATTAAAACGAACATTGCAGCCCACACAGTTCTCCGCACCCTCATCTCTCAGCCAGTGATCTGCCATTCCACGTCCTGGCTGCTCGGCCATGGACCAAGTAAACACTCGTCCACGCGCATCTCCAACATATACCGTTCGATGATCCCTAAACAACAGATAAATTTTAATTTAGTGACTGAAATTTTTCCCTCTACAGAAAGGTACCAAAACCTGTTCCTTTTTATTACTTTGATACAGCTAGTGCTGTGATTGAAGCTGGTTCTGTGTTATCTTTACGGTCATATGCCGTATGCATTGTTAGCTTGCTTCGAAATACCAATTGCCTTTGCCATTTAAAACCTGCAGTAAAAGCAAAATTGTGTACAAGATATGAAAAAAATATTGGAGCTCAAGAAACAAAACAAGACTATGGCCTCTCACATACCATCTCTCAAAACATTCATGGGTCTTCGCAAGGCATTTCCATCCAAAGACTTATCTTCTTCATCAGTGCCTCCGTCACCACTAACCATAACGAAGGAGTCTGTGAGACTTGTATCACTTTTGCTCGCCCTCATCCGTTGAGCCGCTGCTCCCAAAGCGGATTCGGGATCGAGGCAGTCAATACTCTTTTCCAATGGTAAGGGTGCGTCTGAATGCAGCCAGCTCCCTTCACTCTTGCGGTACTGGGCGTTGGCACGAGCAGCAGATGAACGCCGACGAACTCGCACGGGTGGAATTTCAGTTCCAGAGGTGTTAAGGATTTCGGAAATTGAACTTACCCTGACTAGGGGTGTGGTGCTGGTAGGAGGAGTGGGGGCCAAAGCTGAAGCTTCCACATCTTCAGCACCATCACTGCAGTGTTCCTTCTCCTCATCCTTGTTCTCTGCTTCCTTTTTAGCAAGTCGCTTGTTCTGTTTGTCTTCGGAATCGGACAGACTACTTTCAGATCCACTCTTAGCCAAAATGCCGGCCGAGCTCAATCTTTTAACAATTTCAGTGACTGGCTCATTGCAAGGAGAATCCCCTTTACCCACTGGAACTTCTTGAGATTCATTCTCATTTTTCTCTTGACTTATATCAGAATCAATTGACACAAGTTTATCATCTTTTGGAACCTGTACGTAATCCATAGACCACATTCGGACCACACCATCAGTTGACCCTGTCATAATTACATTCTTTGAGTCCCACTCATGCATTTGGGAGAATGCAACGCACAGAATTTGCTGCATTCGATCTGGTCGACCAACCGCTGTATCCACACTCGCGAGTTCAATGCCATTGATGGTCCATATATGTAACCATGTTCCTGCACATGTAGCAATGTCTCCCTGGGTTCAAAAGCAGTTATGTTACAGAAAACGCAGTTGGTCATTCAAAATAGTTTGATATAAAAATATAGTAATGAAAAATAATAGTGGAAGTACTTACAGTAATGTCATTTACTGCCACAGCGGCAATTGGAGCACTGTGTCCTTTCAATTGTCTTACAAATATGAGACGAGATAGGTCCCACACAATAGCTGAACAGTCTCGAGACCCTGATACAACCACATTGTAGGCTGGGCTGGCAGCTAGGCATGTCACTGCTGCAGTGTGGCCATATAGACATTGCTTTACTCTTAGTTGGCGTCGATTGTACTCCCACACGGCTACCACCTACAGAATAAAATAAGATCACTCTCAATGTTTGACGTCACATTACCTTCTGTAAAATATACTAATTAGAGAAAAGAAGGAAAGTGGTACATACTGAGCAGGTTCCAGCTGTCACAACTAGTTTTGCTGAGGGACAAACGCAAGCAACAACTTCTCCACTACTTTCTCCGGTGGCTTCACAGACAAGGATAGTCCTGTCACTATCATAGTGTCCAATCCTCAATGAATGGTCTGCAAACCCCCATGCCAAGTACTTATTGTATGAGGGTGGGACTAGTACTTTGTTTTGCTCAACAGCAAGTAGCATCTTATCAACACACAGGATCTGACCAACAGGCCCCTTTAATTCTGTTAATACAGTAAAACTTTCTATTAGATATGTAACTTAAAGATAAAATATTGCCATTGGTTAAATGATGCAAATAAATTGTAAAACTGAAAAAAATCATTCTGACCTTTGATAGCTTGTAATGATGGGACAAGACTGTCCAATTGGTCAAAGAAAAGCTTCTGACTGCAGGGAAGAGGAGCTTCTCTCAAACTCAAACTTAACCCAGGTGTTGTAGGACCCCCATTAAGTTTTTTGGCAGGATGAAGTCTTTTAAAAAGCTGCTTTGGTATCTGACCAAAATTATTAATAAACCCAATGGTAGCATTTTTCTTTAAAGGATCATCAATGCTGAAAAGACACAGTTATTATGATCATCAAATTTTGACCTCTGCAAATATATAAAACAAAAGGAAGGAAACCTACTTGTAAATATCAACATTGCCCTCGTAAAACAAATGATGGAAAACATTAGTTGCCTCAACTGCTGCTTGGCCTTGTTGTTTATAGCCAAATATTAAATCTATCCAATGATGCAATTTAGAGGAAACTGCATCACACTCCAGAGCAGCTCTATGAACACGAATAAACTCTTGGGGATCATCTTTAGCCCAAGGAGGAAGAACAACATCACCAAGTTGAACACCATTTTGTTTGCAGCCTACAAAAACATATTTAATTCCGATTTAATTAAACTGTAGCAAAGGCATTATGGAAGAAAATAGTAGGTTCAAATTTGATAATGTGGAAAGTAATTTACCTAAATCAAAGTTATTAGAATTTGTGAGGAATTCAGGAAGATAGAAAAATTCTGGAATAAGTTCTTTGACATCTGCCATGTTGTGTCGAGAAGCTGAGAGCCAAGCTTCTCTCACACTGTTGAACATTCGATCAGCTAAATCAAAATGACCACCCTGAAAATTGACGAAAACAATTGATGCAACTTAAATCAGCTTTACTGAAATGAAGGAGAGATATTGATTTAAAGTTCTGAAACACACCTGCAATCGCAAGAAGTGCTGTGTGAAAGGCTCCATTCGAACCAAATAGGAGCATACAATCATGGCTGAAGAGTAATGAGTACCATAATGATAAGGGGGAGTCTCTCCATGGGGATCATCCCATTCCTTAAATCTGAAACCAATCAGAAATATTAGTAATTTCTAGATTAATCTTCGTGACAATTCTTTATAACAACACCCAAAAAGTAACCTTTTCTTAAACTGATGGAGTCGGTCTGGGCTCTGTGCACCCATGGGTTTAGTAAAATCTCTAAATGTTGCAGGATCATTGAAATCCACCTCAGGTGAATCATAATCTGCTAATATCCACGGAAAAATAGGATACTGCATCAAGTCATTGTAAGATCGCCCTGCTAAGGTATTAAGATGCATAAGGTATTGGAAATTGGAGATTTCCCCACGCTGAAAATAAAACACATGTTAGTTAACAAGTAAAAGAAACATCAATACTTCCCACAATACTAACAGTTTATACGCTAATTATTTGATATTTTACTTACAACCCATCGCTGGGTTACAGATGTTTCTCCAATAAGATTTGATAAAAGTCCTGCAGCCTGTTCCACATTGGCTGTGCGTTTTTGCCCAGCTACAGATTGCTGGGCACTGTCTGCAATACCAGTTGCATTAGCATGAAATCTGTAAGAAAGGAAGCAAGTTATAATGGTGGCAGCTGATATAATGTCTTTTGATATCTAGCAGCCAAATATTTAACCTGTGATAAACTTTGTTGCGAATTTTTCGTTGGAATGCTAGGAGTTGATTTCGACCATCACTTGAAAATACTTCAAGAGCCATAGGCTGCAAAAGGTACCTCCTTTTGTGTACCTCTCTTCAAAAAAAACAAAGGAATTACAAAGCGAATGACAAAAATATCAAAGGATCTTGCAACAAAGATCTGGATTTACTCCTACCTTATGTCTTCATAATGAAATTTATATGAGTGCCTCATGGAATGGGCTCGTGTTGGACTACCAGGCCCAGGACTAGGTAATATAGGCTCTTGGAGGTGAGGAGGCAAGGAGTCAATATCTCTTACTTCACGTGATCGGAGAACTGTGAGACCATCAACAATGTACACATGCTCTTTGCCAAAGAGCAATAAACCCTCCATTGTGTCAAGCCCCTGTATTCTAGCACAGCGGAACATATAGCTTATCTGTAATAATGCAGAGAATAAGATATGTGATGTGAGTTCCAGCAAATTTAAAGTGATCACTTTAAAGGAAAATAACTAAAAAATAACCTTTTCTTGTGGCTCTAAAAGTCGTATTAAAGTTTGGTTGTCTGATGTGGAGTCTTGGTCCTCCCCAGAATCCCGTACATCCTCCCGCTCATCCGCATCTGCACTTTCGGGGCCATCATCAGCTGCATCATCTGGTTCTGATACAGATCTGTTCACTGAGTGTCGAACAATACTCTGGAATCCTGTTAAAATTAAATAAAATAGAGTAGAAGTAAAATTAATTATGTAATCCATTACTTGGGAGTCAATATTTAATTGATTGCCATTCACTAACATATACATACCTTTAATGGCAGATGCATCATCCATGTTAGAATTACTGTCATCAGTTTCTTCAACTTCTCTTTCCCGATCTTTGTTGTTGTGAGCTTCAATCATATTATCTCTCTCATGGTCAATCAATCCTCGAGGACGATATTTATGATAGAAGTCTTTACTGTCCCAACTAGTCGCTACTTTGTACTTCAATGATTTCTTTAAACCACAAAAAAGAATATGAGAAATGTGAGAATGTGACATTTAAAACATGTACTTATATGCAAACCATAGCATTCATGCAACTTACATTGTCTCCACTATCTAATTCAGGTCGGTATGGATACTGAACATAAAACATTTCATTGCGCATCATTTTCTTACGCATGCGGCTTGGACCTTCTGTCATGTCTAACATCCATTTGTCTAGCCTAAACGTAAATTTGGAGAGTAAGGGAGTATTTTTTATTTCTTTTATTTATAACTCTTAGCTATTATTCACAGCTTTTTGCAAATTTCAAATAAGAGTTCCATGTAAGAAATCTAAAAGAACAAACCTGCTTCCAACTGATGGTCCCCAAAGACCTCGTTCTCTGGTAAGTTCAGTTTCAGTTTCCAACCATTCTTCATACACAATACGTTGCATGTGTATCATATGCTGAGAAATATCTCGACGTCTCAGATCAACAAGAGCTTTTACCAAACCAATATGCTGTTCTGCACAAGATTGAATTTCTGTACCGGATAGCATGCACTTGGTCTTTGCTGGTTCTTCTTTCTTCGATTTTGTACGGCTTGCAAGGCGAGTTAGGCCACCAGTGACTTTCTGAATTTTCTATAAATGATAATGATCAACAAAATTGTCAAGTTTGGAGGGAATAATAAACGCTATTAGAAAACACAACTCTGTAACTTACAGATTGAATTTGATTGTGAAGTTCCCAGGGAACTTTGCAGGTAGCTTTACGTTCCATGTCAACATAATTCAACCACACCTTATGTGCTGACTCTAACACCTGATCTCGCACCAAGCTCAATTCAGGAGCTTTATTGTTGGGCGAGTTTAAAGTAATTTTAAACACCTAGAAGAGTAAACTTTTGAGAAATTCATTCGAGAAATGGTGAACTAAGATCTAGTTTAGAATAGCATACTGACCTCTTCAATAGCTGGTTTTTTACACACGTAAAGTTCCTCCCATACTCGAGTAGCAGCCACCACCATTAAATTGTGTCCTTGACGAGTGTTCAATTTATCATCAGAGTCATCAACCTGAGGGTTCACATGCCACGTTGTTTTGATATTAGTATCAAGCCTGCAAAAGAAAATAGGTACAGAAAGTATACACAGGTAACACATTGTAACATGAGAAATAGTTTAAAAATCTTACATTATTTTCATGTCTGATGTTAGTTGCAGGAGGCAATAAATTAGACATCCAATGAAATCAAGCTCATGATTACCAGCACCAAACACCAACAATCTAGAACATGAAAAAAGAGTAATAATACAAGACTCTTAATTTCTAAGATCCTAAAATTAAGTTTAAAATTCTACATGCCTGTGTGTGGTAAGTTTATGAAGTGCTTCTAAAACTGACATTTGTTGAGTAAGAGTTTCCGTGGCTCTCGACAGCAGAAATAGGATAGTTCTGTTTAAACAATGATACAGTCCCTCTAATGATGTACCCCCTGGACGCCGTTTTGCTTGAGATATGAGTTTAACAACAAAGTCAAACACGTCATGTGGATCTTTAGATAAGTTTCCTAAGAGCAAATAAGAGGGTTAGAAAAAGATATGAGAACGAAACATATTAAATGGTGAAATATAAGAAAAAACTGTTAACATAATACATAGATGGCTAGATACATTGAGATCAGATATACTTGCCTTGCCACAATTTATCTACAACGCGGGCTGCCAAATAACAAACATTTGGAGCAACATTATTCGAAGCTCCACCAAAAACTATTGGCAAAGCTGCTTGATCACCAACTAATACGTCAGCTGCTAAGAGGTGCTCCATAAGCAAACTTAGAACCTCTGTCTGATATCTTGTGTGTTGAGCACTTGAAGCACTTTCAGGTGAAGCCTGATAGAAAAATAAGGAAGTATTAAAATGAGACAACACCCTGCATTACATGTGAAGTACTGTTATAAGTGAAAAACAAGAGAGAAATGAAAACATACGTTGAGAACAAGGTCAATTACTGGGGGACCTTTGCCAGAAACAGGAAGAGACAAGGAGTCCACAACAATTACTCGTAAAAAATCCATAACGAATTTCCTTGCAGGGTGAGATGTCAAGAGATTCTCTTTGGTTGGAGAGTGTGTAACAGTTGTGGAATCCTCCGTAGGGAACACCTAACAAAAATAAACTTAATGCACTTTCCTCAAATATTTCACACATAAACTGTTTGAAAAAAAGAAATGCTAAGTTACCTCATCAACAGGAGAACTAGCACAGCTACTGATTTCACTTCCTGGTCCACGTGGAAATAATGTTCCTGCTAAGGCAGTCAAGACATCACCACTCATGAAGACTGGCTTGAAATCGAGCATATTTTGATAAAGGAAGAATAGAAATTGTATAATTGTTACTGGGTAGTCACAGAGCCATTGTGGTAAACTCTCAGGGCTAGAAAAAAAAATATACATAAGCAACCTTGAAAGAATAACCACTCTATTTCTCAAAGAGCCCTCCAAAGACTTTTACCTCTTTCCTTCCTGATTCAGCATGGCACGGACCATAGTGAGAAGGGTAGTAACAGCCTCAGGACATAGACTAACTTTACCAGCTAGAGTATTTACAGATTGTCCAGCTGGCATACCAAACAAAAAGTTCCACACATTGTCAAGATCCAGCTGTAGGAGAATTCAAACAAAAAACAACAGTTCTTAGTTAGTCAGAGACATTTTTCCATACCATGTAGTCTGGAGTTATGGGTTCATGATAAAATATGTACCTTAGAATCTGCAGGCAAGAGCTTTACAGGCTGGCCCATCATAAGCGCCATGATCAGAAAATAAACTTCAGGAACCTCAAGATGATAAGGCAGCTGCCATGATAATCTTTGAAAGCCTGGCACATGCACTGCATCAAGACGAATTTCCTGTGATTTTTGAGTCCCAGGAGAAGTGCCCAATTGGTAGCCAAGCAAACCTCCCATCTTATCTTGCAAGTGTTGTGTGTCTTGAAGCCACCCACCAGATCCAGATCCATCACGAAACTTCTGAAGCAGGATAGGGTTTGAGCAAAGAGCTACAAGAATACGCAAACCCCAAACAACAGTACCCGCATGAAGGTTGGGTTGCGTCCACAAGAGAGCCCAATCTAAACCCAGGACTCGGACAACTTCATTGCAGAATGGTTGATTTATGGTGCCTCTTGCAGTGAATAACAAGGAGTGAAGCATTTGAAGACAGCGATTTCTTAAAAAAACACAGCTGACAGGGTCCCGCAATATATTTTCTGTGCCAGTAACTGGTGCTTGATCCCACGATAATGGTGTGACCTCTTGCAAAACAAGATTCTTCTCATCAATCGCAGGACTTGACAATGTTGCCGTAACTAATTGACCAAAGTGTAAGAGATCAACAGGGCGAGGATTCCCAGCGAGCAAGACTCCCAACAATGTTAAAAGCATCGCTCGAGTTGGAGGTGGCCCTGCCATAACCGATGGCAGCACATGCAGAAGTCGGGGAACCAGCATCAGTTCGCGTAGAAGACGAAGATTAGTTTTCTTCTCACTTGACTCTGATACAAGCTCCAGCAAATGTTCAAACAATGATTTAACAAGTTCTCCAGGTGCTTGATGCCAGACCTGTATTCAGATTGAAATATTCTGGTTTAGATTCATATTGCATAAAAGATTCAAACTAGGACACTGTAACATGAAACAGAAAAGCTTACCTCAATATCACATAACAAATCTTGGAATGCTTGAGGGTTGGGTACGCATGAACTTTCCCTACCAGAATCCACAGATCCAACCAAACTGAAGGTGAGGTGCAAGATATGGGAATTTAGAAGTGGTGTTTTTCGTCGTAATAGCATAGCTAAAGTTTGATATCCTCTTCTTCTATCCATTTCAAGCTGTGCACATCGATTGCTTCGCACAACACAGACTAAGGCTTTCACTCCTGCATATAAGCTCTCAACGTCTTGGGCCATAGCAATGAGCCCAAGCAGAACAGCACAACCACCAACACTATCAACAACTTTAGCCACAGGTCTTGGAGAAAATACTCTGACGCCCAGATAGCCAATCACAACACCCCCAAGTGATCTGGCTGATCCACCCAAGTGTCCAGCAGAGTTATGAAGAATACGAATGGGAGTAGCATTTTCATGGGAAGACATACCAAGCTGCCTGGCAACTGATCTGTTGTCTGCCCGGTTGTAAACTTTGCGTATTTTTGCTAATGTTAGTTGCGACACTGCCTTTGCATTCAAACCAAAAATTACCTTATCCTCAGTTACTAAAGCAGGGCATGGCTCCTGTCCGGATTGAATAGGTGGGGCTTGCAAACTACCCATGTATTGAGGTCCCAACTGATGGACTAGGGCAACAGTTTGAGGGCTCAGGACTTCCTCCAACAGGTGGCAGGGCCCTTGCTTCCAGGTCAGACGAGAATACCGGCGCCAACTTGGAGGAGTTCCAATGTAGCCATAGACTGATGAAGCTACAGTCAAGTTGGCAGCTCCTCCACCAGGATTCTGGGATATATAGTGAAGTTTCTGTGTATGAATGTGCTGACCATCGACATATACAGAGCAGGCAGAGTTTTTCAATACAGCTCTATTTAGCACCAAAGCTAAATGATGCCACTGGCCTTCCTGTAACAGGTCTGGACACCAAACTCTGGCTGAACAGTCACCCAGTCCTTCTGGCTCCCAGTCACCATTGTCTAATAGTAAAGCAATCAAAAAGACAATCTTAGGCACACAACTCAGACAAACATTGATAGATAAAATATAACTAAAAGTATTTTTCTTACTGTGGGGCATGTGTGTTTCATGAGTGCTAACAATAATAGCTTTGTCACGAGCAGACAGTAGCACAGTTAGGCAAATGAGATGACTTTCTGGAAGGTTTCTCACTAATGTCAACAGTCGTACTGGATGTGGATCAGTCCGCGGATCACTAAATTTGTCAACACAAAGCCATGTTGAGTAGGTTAGTCCTGTCTGGGGAGGAAAAACACGATCTCCTACAAGAATAAACAATTAAGTAATTAATAAAAAATGAACAATAGGAAATATATACAATACACATTTAAAAATGAATTCGAATTCAGTAGAAAGTACCTGATCCAATTCCTCCAGTAATATTGTTGTCCATGGCAGCATTGAGGGTAGCACCTACAATAGCCGAACCCCCTGACGGACCTTGTGGAGCAATGCTCGGCAGGTAGAGACCTCCAAAACCCTCAGCAGACATATCGAACTCAACAAAAGCTGGTGGTAAGCTGGTCTGATGAGCTCTGAAATCACGCGGTGTTGTCATCGAGACTATGGTCTTGACCCGCGTGAGAGGCACTGCCCCTCCAGCTCGACCGTGATGGTAAAAATCCAATGGTAAGCAGCATAGTGGATCACCAAGACGCAAAAAATCTCTGCAATGTTTTCCTGAGTTCATAAAAAGTTCAAGGTATAGAAAATTCTACTTCACTGGCCAAGCATATTACCTTAAATCTTTGGGTTCTAAGCCCTGAGCAGCTAGTCTTTCCAGCATATACTGTAAGGGTTGATGAAGAGGATGGGTCTCATCTTCTAAAGCAACTGAACCAAATTCAAGAAGCTGCCCTGGTAAACCTGCCTCACACATCACCTGTTGATTTCTTTCAGATCTGACTAATGATTTCAATATTTCAGCTGCAAAAAGCTGAAGGGTCAGGGCAACCTGAAAAATAAAAAGTTAATTTCTGTAAGGATTGCCCTCTGTTTATTCTTCCTAAACTCACTTAACGAAAGATCAAAAAAGTACCTGGGAATGTTCATTGTGGTGAATAGAGGGAAGAAGCCTCCATATTGCCAGGACAACACCAGGATGAACAACAACAGGATCAGGTGGAGGAGGAGTAAGATTCAAAGAATTCACTCTCCGAGTTCCTGACGGAGATTCTAGAGATCTTTGAGGCTGCAAAGATGGCACAATTATTTTATGCTATCTGTTAACTTTGCCTGATAAATTTTCAAGAATATTTTTGAAAAGTCACCTCAATACTATTTCTGTTTCGATGTGAAGGGGACTTGAATGATATAATAGCTGTAGCATTAGGTTTGTCATAGACATCAAGAGCCACATCATACAGCAGCCTTAACACGATACAGGCATATGATAGGCTCATTGGTATTTGTTCTGGAAAGCTGTAGAAATTCCAGAATCAATACTGAGACACATTATAAACTACATACAAAGTGCAAGAAACAGCTTTGAGAGTAATTTGAATTTATACACAATGTCCCGGGATACTTATTGTTTTATTACCTTGGCTCCAAAACATTGCTGATGAACAGATTATAAAAGGTATTCTCTTCCTTGGCAAAGAGAGTTTCATCACAATCTTGTAAAGATTTTTGAGACGTGAAGCATCCAAGGAGCCGTAGGGAGTCACAAAGACTTGATGTGCAAATCTAAAAAATAACAAAAAAAACAAGCATTGCATTCAGAACACAAAATGAGTTATTTACAGAGATAGAGATAAATAGAAAATAAAGTACTACCTCTTGATAAAAAAATTTTGCATTGGCAGGCTCAAATCGCATGGCGACTGTTAGAGTATTAAAAACAGTGTGCAGAACTGTCAACACCTGCTCCATATCCTCAGGATTACAGAAATCTTCTCCAAGTCGTCCTTCAAGTGAAACTAATACACTTGTCACATACACAAAGCCACCTACTTTACGAAAAGCAGTGCGCGTTCTATGACTATCTCTTAAACATAACAGCAGAGACTGGAAAAGATTTTAAGAGTGAGTATGGTTGTTCTCATCTTAATTTAAAGCTATGTTTGGACTTCACTTCACTTTATACATATGACAAATATGCATTCAACATTTCGAAAAAAGCAATAAAGATAAATAGGAAAGAAACTTGGTAAAATTACCTTTAAAATGTGTGTCTTCAGTTCGAGTAACGATGAAGGAGCTGAATGCATCATTCCCAATAATGTTCCCATGTCATCCTCCCCTCCTGCACCCATCATAAGCTCACGAACAATGCCCAGGGCTTGCTTACGACAGTCTATATATGGAACTAGATTGTGAGCACATTGAGCTCCACCACACTCTCGAAATACATTTGCATTACTGACATTACCAGCCAATAAAGTAGTGAGTGCTTCAATAACCAGCATGCCTAATTCAACTTCCTCCTCTGGAAGAGTATAATCTGAAAAGATAATTTTACAATTAATGCTGGGTGAGAGTAAACACGCTGATGATATAGGTAGAGGATAATAGTCTTTACCTTTATTCTGCTCAATTTCCAGCTCTTTATCTTTAAGAAGTTTTGCATACCTAGTCAAACACGTCACAAAGACCTCAAGGATACCCACTTCTCGATAAACATCTTTAAAAACAGCATTATGTCTGAAAAGTACATACATTTGAGAAATATCTCAAGATAAAGTTAAAAGTGAAGTCTTATGATTAATCTGTCATTCTTACCTCAAGATATTTAACAAAGTACGCATACATGTAATGCTGCATGGGAGAGATGCTTGGCCTTTGAGTAGTATAGATAGAGAAATTAGTTCCTTACAAGGAACAAAATTCAGTTGAAAGACAATAAATTCAAGGAGTTGAAAAAATTTGTCCTGCAATGAAAATTAGCGATGAACCAAACAATATAAATGCATTGTTAAAATGATTAAAAATGAAAACAGTTCATCAAGATATTGCCAAGAGGTTCATTTTTAATTCCAGAGTGTATACTTGTATTTCTTTTGGTTTCAAGTGGATCTTCTCCGCAAACTGGGATAACGTATTCTGGTCCTCAAGGATGAAATAGTTAGCATTATCGGCATGATAGACACCAGATATAGCATCAAGAATAGAGGAGCAGAGTCCTGTGCAGTTAGACTTCAAAAACGCTGTTTGTAGAACTTGGAATGCTGCAATATTTCTGACACTAGCTCCTGCACAAATACAGACAAAAATAATCAAATTAGTTGTCTAGCATTTCATATCTGATGTCTAACAAGAATGCAATTGACATTCACCCTGTCCAGAGGGTTGTGGTAAAATGAATCCTCCCATCTGAAACAGCGAGCCTTGACTAGCAGGGCTGGGTTTCAATTCTTTAAAGCCACAAGTTGATAGAGACGCAAGCATTAAGACAAGATTACGAGTTGCTTCCTGAGACTCAGATCCCTTTTCCTGTTCAAGTCTGTAAATGATGAAAAAAACACATAAATTAGGGTTCGCAAAAAAAAAAAATTAAGGAATAGAATCTATTTTTATGAGTGTTGTGATTTATACTTTAACAGGAAGTCTGATAGAAATGCATATCCTTGACAAGTTCGGAAATCATCCAGAAGGGTCTGTGAGACTTCACTAGAATCTTTCAGGAAACAAAATACAGCAACAAACATTTCTACTATTTCTAAAGGTGAGAGTTCTTTGGCACGTTGCATGTTTTCAAGGCATAAAGCTACACAACCTTTATCTGCAATAGAAAGATTCGAGCATCATAAATTAATATAATATGTTCCGTTTATTGAAATAATATCAATACAACAAAAAACAAACAGAATAAACCACCCAAAACAAAGCTGGAATTAAATGTCTTACTGTGTATATAATTGACAACAGGCTTTGTGAGTCCATGTCGTGATATAGTCATGAGGACCTCAGCAGCACTTTTCCTCCACATAACATTTTGAGAGGGACATGACGATGTGATGGCAGAAAATAAAAGGCTCAGGTCATCCTTACGAGCCAACTCTTCAGCTGGACATGCATGACTGCAAAGACGAACCAGCATCTGGAAATGGAGAGCATTTAATAGAAAAGAGAAATAACAGATAGGAAGTTGTGTATAAATCTTTAAAAAAGAGTGTAAGTAAGCTCACCTGCACAAAAATTTTTTGAAGTAAAATACGGCGTTCTCTAGGTGTAAATTCATTCCCTGGTTCTGCTAAATCCCCATCTTTCATTTCGGGAAGATCAAAGAACAAGTATAAACATTTTACCAGAGTCGATGGTACAGAGAGAGATGTCATTACCTGTAATAAAGTGCTGGATAATTAAAACTATTTTTTAAAATTATTATTAAAAATCATTCCTAAAGGAAAGAGTCAATTACATACTTGAACAAGCTTTAGGTCTCCTGCAGCCAAGAGATTAAGGGCAGACAATAACATCCACCCATTGCTAGATTCCTCAGAGGATCCTATCTCCAGAAAGCTAACAATTGAACAAGAAGCCATTTCTGTTGATTGATTAGATGCTCTTCGGCGTATTTCAGCAACCATTAAAGCAGAAACTTGGTGACAAAATGCAAGAATATCACGAAATTTATCTACCATATCCGATGTAGGACAATCCCCAAATACCTATAAGGAAGGAAGGGGGGCAAAGCTTAAATATGATATGATTCTCCAATAAAAGTGAGACAGTAAGTGACTTCATACTACCTTGCAAAACAATGGAAGCATGTTGTAGAGCTTATTGTGACGTTCTTGTTCACTTAAAGGATGTTGTGGATGTGAATACTCTGAAAAGAGCTTTTTTAAATGCATTAAACCTAATGCTGTATGCTGGGGATTACTACTGGCCTCATCTTGAGCGCTAGAGGAAGCAAAGCTTCCCCCACCACTTGATCCCCGAAGTTTGCGCATAATATTCATTTCTGTAAAACAAAAATAAGAAAAATAGAAGTTTTGGCCATGCATGGACTTGCAGAGAGACAATGTTTAAATATATCAACAAGAACCTCATAAAACTTTGTCTAATTCAACAGATACATAAATAACATTGACATTGTGCTATGCTGACTAATTAGTCATTACATTATAATGTTGGGTCAATGGAATCCAATATTTTGGGATACTTCCCAGTAATGGATGGGAATTGGCTAATATTAGCTTACAAATTAAGAACATGTATAGAGGATAGTAATAATTGTCATATTTCTGTAAGATCTCATTTGAACCAAATTTTAATTAAGACTTAAAACAAAGAGGTAAAACTAGTCAGCAAGCGTTTACAGAGGCTGCTGTTAAGTGTATTGGTATTAAGACAGAAGGTACACAAATCGGCATGGAAAATCTCGTCTGCTTTCAAAACAAAAACATCCATGTCCAAAGCGATGACATGAAACTAATGAGAGCCTTGTTCAGACACAAGGCCAGTGGCGAGAGTTTTTATTCGATTGATAAAACTGACAACATTAAATTGTAAGAGTAGCACTTGATTTAGAGATTAGGTGCTACTATGAACTTGAAAAAATAAAGCGTAAATATGAGAGGTTACATGGATCCACGTACTTGCGCGTAACTCAACAACTCCCTTTTCAACCCTTAATTCTTCAATATTTACTCCAACCTGGAGGCTGGGCCGCTGTCATCATGAGCATTGTACCGTTGCCAGAACAGCACACACTACACGCGTTTTATTGACAGGTAAATTCGCTCATTTTGAATGTGTTGAAAAGTCAATATAGATTTTTGACTGCTTCGAATTTTGCTTTCCTGCCCCCGCCCCACCCCCTTGTGGACTGGAGATAGACAGTGTCAAAAGGCCAGGGTTTCATTTACTCCATAATTTTCTGCCAACTACTAAAACCAAATTTCCAACGCTGACACTGGGTTTTCACAGAGGCTCATAAGTCTCCCGTTGAAAAACGAAGGAATCCTTTTTCTTTACAATCCCAGTTTTTTCGTGGTTGAAAGTTGCTGTAAAATTATGTTGTAGATAATTAATGTTGCAGGTTGGCAATGGTAGCCATAAAATCTGGCCAAATCTGTGGAAATGACGTCATAACGTGAAAATGGTGGCTTCTGGATATAAACACGGAAGTCAAGAAGAAGAAATACATGCAAGGTGGACAGAAGATAGTAAGTGGCAATGATGTGGCTCATTACATTTTAAATTTTGCCCTCATTGCATTAATCGTCATTTCTGAGTTTCAATACTGTAAAGCTAGACAGAATGTCTTGCATTCAACTTCATCAGTGCAAGCGTCCACTGTTCCAGTTCTGAACGCCACTGTCCTTTGTTGCTTATTCGAATCTGCGCTCTGGCCTTCGAAATACATCTACGCCCTAACTTTGCATCTGTACTGGTTAATTACTTCAGTTCTGAAACTGCCAGTAGGCTTCTGTCAGCGTTAAGGCTCCGCTGTACTGGTGTGTTTTAACCGAACTTCCTTATCTATTAGTTACTCGTACAACCCTCGCATATTTAAATGGTTTTGCATTGTGCCAAATCACGGCAGACGGCTGTGAATGTCGCGCGCACCTATTTCACACCTTTGTTTGCGCATTCGCATCTAACCAACCGTCATTCAACAGTTTTCTTGCGGTTGCTCAATGAAGCCTTCAGTAATGACAAATGAAGTAATTTTTGACTATGTCAAATCGTAAATTGCCAATTCTTTTTATGTGCACAGTCAACGCCGAGTTTCAAATTCATTAGTGTCTCTAACCTGAACTTTTTTTTGAAATTAGTAAGATTTTTTACCAGAATTGGGCACAGATTGCCCTTTACCGTTTTCATAATATCATTCATGCAATGTTTGGGTTTAGTTTTTAGAGTGGCCAGCTTGTTCATTCACAGCAATAAACTCTTTAATTCTGTTTCTTATTATTTTTTCGCTTAGAAAGTCTTTCATATTTTCAAATTTTTGTTTACTTTTTTTATAGACCCTTTGGGTTTTGGAACTGTGCCAACTTGTCTTGACACACATGATCTTTCTGAAATTTTTGACTCTGAGGAATAACATACATTATAAATTGTTATCTTAAATTTTCGTGTTTCAAATGCCAGATTTATTGTCAGCATTTTATCTCTGAGTCAAATTGGGAACTGACAGTTTTGACCGTCTTGGCACATGGCTGCTATGGCCTATAAATATCTTGGCAAAGGTGCTGGAAGAGCTGTAGGCTGAGAAATCAGATTCTAGAGGGCTCAGCCTGGGTGAATGCATGCCACATAAAATTTAGTAGTTCTTGAAGTCTGGAGGATTATCAGAAGAATCAACTGTTCAGACTGTGTTAAATGTATACTGCATTTATAATAATAGTTATATGAGTAACATCATCTTGGTCAGAGTTTTAACCATAAATTTAATATTTTCTTATTTTTGAATAGCAAATTACACAATATCTCCTTAATTTTAACTCTATAATACTTGTAGCAATGAAAACAAAATCCGAACAATTTAAATTTTAGTAGACTGTTTTGTCTAATATATTGTGCTTTTATTTTCTGTTTCTAGAACCTTTAACAATCATGGCAGGGCACCCTGTACCCATCGTTCTAGTTTCAAAAGATCATAAATTTGAGCTTGATGAGGAGGCTTTGGAAAAGATACTTATGCAAGATCATGTAAAGGATCATCATGTTGTTATTGTGTCAGTTGCTGGTGCGTTTAGAAAAGGCAAATCCTTCCTTTTAGATTTTTTCCTCCGGTATATGAAAGCTCAGGTAAGTAGTGGCAGTTCTCCTCCTCTGGAAATGCATCACTCTTTATTTTGTTTCATATTTTAATATGTTTTATTTCAGCCATCACCTGATTGGATTGGAACTGATGATGCTCCACTTGATGGCTTTTCATGGCGTGGTGGGTCTGAGAGAGACACCACAGGTATTTTGTTGTGGTCTGAGGTATTCTTGACAGACCTTCCAAATGGTGAAAAAGTAAGCCTTACGTGCAATTTTGGGACTAGTTTTTCCATCTGTGAATATCTTCATAATTAATAAGTTTATTTCATCCACAGGTTGCTGTACTTTTAATGGATACTCAGGGTGCATTTGATAGTGAAAGTACAGTGAGAGAGTGTGCTACAGTGTTTGCTCTCAGCACAATGCTCAGCTCTGTGCAAATATACAATCTTTCTCAAAATATTCAGGAAGATGACCTTCAGCACTTGCAACTGTTCACTGAATATGGAAGACTGGCTCTTGCTGACTGTGGCCAAAAACCTTTCCAAAAGTTACAGTTTTTAGTTAGAGACTGGAGTTTTCCCTATGAGGCTGATTATGGCCCAGATGGTGGTAAAACAATCTTGGAAAGGCGTCTGGAGGTATGTTTCAATGAAGAGTTGTATTATCTGCTTTGAAGCCTTCTGATCATGGTTTGAATATTGTGTTGTATTGCCTCATTCTTGTTACGCTTGCGTGACCCTTTCTGGTGCAGGTTTCAGACCGACAACATCCTGAGTTGCAGTCATTACGAAGACACATCAAATCATGTTTCACAGATATTTCATGCTTTCTCATGCCTCATCCTGGTCTAAATGTTGCAACCAATCCCCGTTTTAATGGAAGATTAGGAGGTACGTGAAACTGTAATACAGTATATTGCATTAAAATAATGGATTTTAATTCTTATAAGATGTGTGTAACTGTCTTTTTTAGAAATTGAAAATGAATTCAAAAAATATTTGCAAGTATTGGTGCCTGGGTTGCTAGCTCCCCCTAACCTTGTTGTTAAGGAAATCAGTGGCCAGAAGGTTAAGGCAAAGGAACTTCTACAGTACTTTAAGTCCTACATTGAGATTTATGAGGGTGATGAGCTGCCAGAACCAAAATCTATGCTTGTTGTAAGTTGTGCTTTGATTGAACCTTACTTAAGCTATCCTTTTACTTTGACTAACTTAAGTATGAATCCAGGCAACAGCAGAGGCTAACAATCTCTCAGCAGTGGCTGAAGCAAAGGAAATGTACAGCCAGCTCATGGAATCTGTCTGTGGTGGATCTAAACCATACCTTAACACAGCCCATCTTGATGCAGAACACCAGCGTGTGAAAGATAAATCACTTGAACAGTTCCGATCCAAACGAAAGATGGGGGGAGATGAATTTTCTGAAAAGTATAGAGAGAAACTTGAGCAGGTAACTTCATTAAATATTGTGGGCATTTGATGCTGGCTTAAAAATACTTGCTTAGTATAGCACTGCAAATTTTCTGTCTAAAAGCATAATATCTATCTCATGAACAGGACTTAGAAGATGTCTATGCCCAGTTTAAGAGTCACAATGAAAGCAAAAATATTTTCAAAGCAGCTAGAACACCAGCTGTGTATTTTGCCATTGTTGCAGCATTTTATATCTTGTCTGGAGTTTTTGGACTGTTTGGCATTTATTCATTGGCTAATATGTGTAATCTCATCATGGGTATTGCTTTAGTCACCCTGGTTACATGGTTTTATGTAAGGTAAGTCCTTTGGCAACATCAACTGTTATTTCCTAATGTCTATCACTCTCTGAAGTTAAATTCCATGTACAATAACATTTTGGTTCTTTGCTGATTTTTGGTTTTTATTTTTAATTTCTGTGGTTCAGGTATAGTGGAGAGATGATCGAGTTTGGAGCCCAGTTAGATGAATTGGCAAACTTCTTATGGGAAAATGTAAGTACATTGTCTTAATTTGTTTAATCTATCAGAGAGTCGGACTCCCCCTTCTTCCCCTGCATGTTTCCTAATCCTTTACCATTAAATTTTCCTCTGCTGTCCTCTTTCATGTCCCTTATTCTAGGTTTATAGACCTGTCAACCATTGACTTAACCTATGGTATGTGGACTATTACCATTGCTATATTTCTGTAGTGTGTTTGCTTCTGAAATGTTTAAGATTTCTTTTAAACAGTATTCCCCCTGTTTAGTGAATGTTTTTGTTTGAATACTTACGTTAAGTGATGTAATATCTTTGTAATTCCTTTCAGATTATGAAGCCTGTGTATGAACTCTTCGTAGAGTCCAGTTTGCAGCGAGCAGCAGTGCTGGCTGCAGAACGAGCAGCTGTGTCTGCTGTTTCTTCTTCACATGTGAATGGCAAAGTGAAATACTCTTGATGTGCTCGTCTACCCCTCCACTAACGATTTTACTGTTTATCTAATGTACAAAAAATAAATTTGTGATTTGGTGTTCATATTTTGATATCTTGTTTTTAATTCTGTTCATCAGGAAAATGATGTGACGTTAATAATGTTATAAAGCAAATTTTACATGTAACAAGTTTTGGCCAAATCTTTTAAAATATTCTTTTTTCACTTCACTATGAAATTTCAGAAATTTCAGCCTAAGAGGAAAGAAATGTATTATTACCTTATTTCAGTTAACTTTTCTGCAATATTATTGTGTACAGATCTAATTTCAAAATCTTCAAATACGTACTCTAAATGTCAATTTACAGCTTGTTTTTGTACATCTAGTCCTCTCTTTTGTTGGGAATAAATTGCTGGTATTTTAAAACTTTCTTTAAATTTGTGTTAATTTCTTTGGCAGCATGTGTAAAGACCAGTTTGATAAGTAAAATATTATCATAGAAATTTGTACACGTTCTTGTAACTATTCTTTTTTGAAAACCATGATTAACACTGACACCTGAAGAATTAGAAGAAGGGTGGGAACTTGTATAATGTGGGTATAGATGGTCTTTGTTGTGATTTCTATTTTAAGAAATAGGCATTTTAATGTTAGCTGCTCAAATAAAATAACTCATGTCACCTCTTTCATCCGTGACTTTTAGCAGGTGGAGGTTTCTTGTTAATGTTTTTGTCTGTTAGATGTTTGTCATGTTATGCTTTCCTGATTGCGTAATGTTGTTTGTCTTCTATTTATGTTATGTCATTGTGTCATGTAATTTGATTTGGAGTGATTTGTACAATGTTTGCTCTCTGTACTAGCCATGTGAAGAAGTCTTGTAATATACTATTAATGAGTGGTCATTGAGGTGATGTGTTTAGTCTTGTTCCAGTTTGTTGTAATAATTGACGATTATCTAATGTAACCTGATCACTGATCACTCTTCTAAATTGTATTACCAATTTTGGCCAATGTATACTATTTTTTTTTTATTATTTTTTTGTGTGTGTTGGGGGGGGGGGGGGGGGGGGGGTAGGGGTAAAATGTGACATGGTTGAAAATGTGACAGTCAAATTAGCATATGTACTATGTAGCTAATGAAATCTTCTTTCGTCCCTTATGTTCTTTTTATCCTGATGAAGCTTACTTGTCCTTTTTTTAAGGCTTTACTATTTATTTGTATTAAACAATAGGTTTTTAATTGTTGTTTGTAGTTGTGCTATATTGGGAAAAAAAGGATGCTGTTTACAAGTGTAAGTTTAAATCAGTGCACTTAAAAATCAATTTTTTAAAACTTGTTTTCTTTTGTTTTTGTTTTTTTCTAGTGTTTTTTTTTTTTAAATGCATAAATCAATCTTCATTCTTATTTTCCATTTGATTTATCTATTACAAGGAAAAATTCAGTCACTGACTTTGGCATTCTCATTCACCACAAGTGAAACATCATGATGATAGAAGTGCATCACTCCATGCTACTCCCGGTTCTGGTTCATTCAAATATGTCACTGTTAATATTTTACTGCATCTTATATCTTGTTCACTTTGCCTGGAAATTACCCTTACTCTCCCAACTGTGACTCATGACCCTCAATATTTATTTTTTTTAACATAATTTTATTGAGAGGACGGCACTAGTAAAATTTTAGTTGAACTTACGTTAGATCATTACTGCAAATAAAGCTGGTTCGCTTTTGTTCGCATCAGATTTGTATCACTTAATATTTAGTTACTATCAAGTAAGTAGAATCTGCAACTCAAATGCTTAGAGCAAGGACCCACAAGGAAGATAATAGGTGTCAAACTCTGACAATGAGTCCGACCAGTCTATGGTCTCAATTTGTTAAGCTGAATCAGCATAGGTGTCTTAATACGAGGGTGTGATCTAATCATAGTCTGGTCAGACTATTTGTGGGGCCCTAAAATGTTGAGTGGCTTGCATTTTAAAATGCTTTGAAGTAATGTAATTTTTTTCATAATTTCTCTAATTTAAGTTGGTGGTGTGCATTGGAAAGTACACTGTAATCAATTTGTACCTTTGACTTATTGTGATAACATTCATGGACCAATAGAAAACTTTTATGGATGTGAAGCGAATCAGTTTTATTTGTCACTTTTTTAGCCTCTTAAAGATCTTATGTGCTTGGTTATGCCATTTATGTGTTAGATTTTCATATTGTTAATGGGAAAGTTATTTTCTTTGTGTGTAACTCCCTCATTTCTTGTAAAGATGTTAACTAATGGTCAGCTGGAGCATTAAATTTTACAATTGGGTAGGGGTTCTGAAACATGATTTTAGTGTTAGCCTTCACATCCAGTGTATCAATACGTTTGCTGTCTTAAAATTACAGAAGTACAAATATTGCTGCTAAAATTATCTTCTCTAAGAAAATCTCATGTGTTCATCAAATCCACTTGACTGATTTGTCAAGCACAAACTTTTGATGGAATTATTTTCAAATGTAAGGGGCTGAGGTCTCTTCCTTTGTGGCACAAGTGACCTTTTAGTCAGTAATCGGTCTTTAAATTTAAAACTGTGCATGCAACAAGAATAATTTGAGTTCTAACTTCATTGGTAGTTTTTAACATTATCTTCACGGGTAAACTGCTCTTTTAATTTCTACCATGCCCGTCCAGCATGTTTGTTGTGCCATAATCAATGTTAAGGGCAAATTTAACTGGAAGAAAAGATGTGAAGGCTTTGATTTATTTTGTGATAACATGTTGCCAATTGTATATCCCTGTAACTCTTAAATATCAAACAAAAAAAAATACATATTTTTCTAGCACAACTCTATGGTTTATATTATACGCGTACCCTTTTTGTCACATCTTGTGTAATCGATTGGAGGTACCCCCCCTACACACAAACCTACGTCTTTGTAGTACCAAACCCCTTCAGGCATATGCAACCAACACAACACCCCCTTCACCAGTCGGACCAAAACTGCACCTGATCATGCCCATATTTTATCCCCAGGTGGAATTACAGTGATTTGATGTAAAGGTTAGCTGTATTTAATTAATAGAGCTAAAGCCGAGAGCTAAAAGCGAGAGCGCAATATGATAGCCGAGAGCGAAGAACCGGTAGCCGAACCCCGACCCGAGTGACCCGAGCTGCCGTTCTCCCATAACCACCGCACCAATTCTTCGCTCTCGGCTATCGCTTTGCGCTCTCGCGTTTAGCTCTTCTAACTAAATACAGCTGTATACTTCCGCATTAAAGAGGTTTCAAAGCCAAAGCCTCACTTTCCAGCACCTGAAAGTGCCCAAGGGAGAAAATAGAGAATGTTTCAATGTATTGACTTATATTTAGAAGTTGTAAGCAAATGGAAATGTATCAGAAAACCAGTATTAGTCACTGTCTTCATCCTTAGTCTTGTCTGACTTCTTGGACTTCTTCTTGCGATGACTGCGATGGTTAGGACTACGACTTCTGCTCTTGTGTCTCCTCTTCCTCTCTGATGGACTTCGACTTCTAGAACGGTGTCTATGTGACCTGCAAGATACGGTTTTATAGAAAAAATCCTAAGAAACTGGCAAAATATTACTTGATTTGCTGCCATTACCTATGTTTCTCCTTCTCTCTTTCAGATCGATCTCGGTCTCTATCTCTGCTAGCCTTAGGACTATCTTTATCATCTTTGGATTTAAGATTGGAACTTGTAGGTCCTGGTATTCCAGAGTGAGGTTCTTCTCTTGGTCCAAAAGATTCCTGCTATAATTTATAGAAATAAAGATGAAAAAACTTTGTCAATTAAGACTGGATTATATAGTGGCTGAAAATAAAAAGGAAATAAAACACTTACATGTCCTAACCACTGTTGCTCTTGAGTAGGCTCATAAGATTGATAATAAGGATCAGTGTCAGGGGAATAAAACTGTTCTTGTCCATATGGTCCAGGAGGGGGAGGGTGCATCCGAGGAGGAGGTTGAGGAGGGAAGGGACTGGAAAACATTTCAAAACAAGCATTAATCAGAAACTAAGCTTGTGAAATAAAAATCCAAAGAAATCTGAAACGTAAGTAATAAAGTAAATATCTTCCAATGCAGTATATTGGAATGTACTCAGTTTCATGGTATAGAATAATGCCTGGGGTTTCAGCAAACATGCAAAGAAGAAGCTGCTCAAAACAGTATGCCACCTTCAGAGACACTTGTACTGCTTCCTGAAGATCTGTGTAGGCTCAGGGCAGATGTTGCCAAAGGAAGAATTGATAGCCCGACATATCTCAACTAAGAAAATATTGAACAAATAAACCGAAATATACAAACCTAGGTACTGGTATTGGAGGAGGAACATCAAAGGAAGGTGGTAGCCCTGTTGGGGGAGGTACAGACATATCTGGGAACCCTGGGTTCTTCCGACTATATTCCCTTCTATCAGCTGTCATTACCTGAGACAAATTAAAACACACAGTTCTTCTTAGCTCACAAAGTAAAGGAGGCAGAAGCAGATAGATAACATCACACAAAAATCAAAAACTTTAACATTTGACCAATCACCCACCTGAATGACATTTTCTTTAGGTGGGGTGTCTCTGTCTGTGTTGCGACGTGAGGCTAGAGTGCCACCCCCACTTCCAATTACATCAATGCTGCCTCCCATCTTGCGGCCAGGAGGTGGACCTGCTTTACGAATGCCAAGAGCAGCATTATATTTTGAATTGTCATTGGTTATGGAAACAGGAATAGCACCTGGCCGAGTAGGTCCAGGTGCATTTGCTGCAGCTGCTGATGTGCTACCTAGTGGACCCAAGCCAACTCCTGATTCATGTACTCGCATCCTCTTCTGCCGCTCACAGTAGGCACGCCATGTTTCTTCATTGAAGCCATAGTTGAAGTAATCTGAAAAGGAAGATTGTAATTTACTTCTTGCAGTACATGGACTAGAAATGTGGTAATTTGAATACTAACCTGTGATGTCAGCACCAGGCTTTCTCCATGGCTTGTCCTCCAAAGAGTCTAAGTTGTACTCATGTGTTGGTATACCGTTAATAGTGCCAATTTGTTCAAATTCTTCAATTGAGAATTTCCCAGGTTGCTGAAAGGAAAAAAATGATTTAAATTGATAAAAATTGAACAGATTATTGCACATTTAAACAAAATTGGAACACAGAATTGAATACTTGGTTCTTCACTTCAATCCACATGCTAAAACTGAATTCTACAGCTAGAATATATAAAATGAAAGTAGAATAACCAGAGACATGCATCATATAGACCATTTCACCCGAGCGCTTTTCGACCTCTCGAAGAACAAAAATACCGGAAGTCGGGCAGTATATGGAACGCTCCTAGCCGTTAAACACGCTAGATTGAAGCGGTTTGTGCCGTAAGAATATATTTTAGACTAAATTAAGGTCGGAGAAGAGTAGATTGTCAGTTACATTGACAACAAACCTCTATTTTGTGTGACACTTTACCTTGACTTCCGGTATTTTTGTTCTTCGAGAGGTCGAAAAGCGCTTGGGCGAAATGGTCTATTCAACACAATACTTATACAAACTCAAAATCAGCTAGAACTATAATTCATTACAGAGATAAAGATACATACCTTTCAGTTTCTCAAGCCATCACATCAACTTCCACATTCACACATGCATTCTAAAAAATCTACTGTTAAAAATAGCATCAACACTACCTTCAAAATTTGCATGCAGTGTTATAAAACTGTGATTAAGTCATTCAAAAATCAACATGAAACTACTGGGCTAAACACTATGAAAACCTAGTACCTTCAATTTATCAATTCCACCAGCAGAAGTAAGAAGACCTCCTCTTTTAATATTTAAGCTCGAATAAGTGGCTGGGGTGGTTTTGATGTCCCCAATGACTACATTGACATCATCGTCACTGTCGTCATCATCGTCATCATCATCAATTTCTCCATCGTTTTTATCATCTACAAAGAGAAAGCCACCAGAAAGTCATTGAGTGTAGAGTAACCAGACAAAATATTGTTTAAGTTTCAAACCCAACAAAACATACCAGTCTCCTCTGCTGTTCGTGACTCATCTGCTGCACTTTCAGAGGCAGGTTCTGTAGTGGAATCCTCTCCTTGTTCTTGTCCTTTTTCCGGCTGCGATAACTCCTAGAGAGGGAAAGTGTCGTGGGTTTAATATTTATTCAAAATGAAGAGAATAGCAATAAGCCGGGTAAACATAACCTCTCATACCACAGTTTCAGGTTAAATAAGGACGATAAAAAGAATGAAACTAGTTAAAAGTTAGCGTCGGATTTACCTCTATCCCCTTCTTATCAGAATCATGTTCGGATTTTCCTAGTTTCTTTTCGTCAGAGACATCGTTGTTGGCGTCCTGGGACTCCGCCATAGAATCCCCATACAGCCACTGATCGTCATTGTTTTGATCGTCTGCCATGATTAAGAGAGAATCTCTGAGAAGTAAATTGCAGAGCAACAAATTTTGAAACAGTTATTTGGCTTCTTCATCAAAATAACGCCGTCCAACCCATCTTTACTACTTTAATACATTTACGATCGGAGCAGATCAAAGCAAAGGGAACGTTGGAACGGGAATCGGAAGAAAGCAACTGTTTTGTTTTGTGGACGTCATAATTTCTCATAATACCACAATTTGGAGGGAGATTCAAACCGCGGCGCATAACTAATCGATGGTCGCCTGTTCTTCACGAATATTATGCAACGTGCTGTGAACTGACAAATTCTGAGCAAGTACTCCTGATTTCGTATTTTTTAAATATGTTATTTATTCGACGTGACATTTCTCAATTTGTGTAGGCTCAAGAGATAAAATGCTGCATGACATTCATATTTCAATGCTTTATTAATAAACTCTACAAAGGCACTTTAAATTTACATTGCGAATCAATCCAAGAAAAATCTATAGCTTGATAGCTCCTCGCAGTTTTGCATCTCTTATTCGTGGATTCATGGATTTAAAATGGTTTTCAGGGGTAATGACATGTTTAGATAAGGGGGCCCAAATTGATTTCCTTAATTCATTCATTTCTTCCACACTCAAATTAAATGCCTGACCGTAATATTTTAGTGGCATAGGATTAGGATTAGTTTCCAATACATTACCAGATACATGTCGCTTGACAATTGTGTCTTCTACCTGATTGAAAGTTAGAGATATCATACGACCGCCTTTCTTTAAATATGCTTCAGCAAAGCGAATTGCAAAATTAAGTTCATTTAATTCATTGTTAACAAAAGAACGCAGAGCAAAAAACACGTTTTTCACAACACGGCCACTTTTTTCTTCAAGGATACTCTTCAGAAACTCTTTCAGTTCCCCTGTGGAATTCAATCCTTGAAATGTATATCTGCATGTAACAATGCTCCGAGCTATTTTTCTGGCTTGATTCTCACTACCGTATGTTTTAAATATTCTTCCTAAGTCCTGCTCATCTGCTCTGGTAAGGATGTCATAAGCAGTGATAGAATTCAAGGCAGAAGGACCATCCATTCTCATATCTAATGGACCATCAACTTCAGAGGAGAAACCACGGCTTGCATCATTTAGTTGGATTGAAGAACAACCCAGATCAAACATTAAAGCATCAAGTGTATTTATTTTGATTCCTATAGGTGAGAGCAGGACAGGAAGATCACTGAAACGACCTAATAATGGTTGAAGTCGACCAGGATATTTCAAAGTCAGAGCTTTTGCCTTTTCAATGGCATATGGATCTCTGTCCAAGGCAATGACTTTCACGTTGTCATTGCTTTTTAAAAGGGCTTCAGTGTGCAATCCATCACCAAATGTCATATCAAGAACTGTTTGACCATCCTGAAGGTTGAGTTGTTCCAACACTTCCTGTACCATAAATGGAGAGGGTTTGTCATGCACATTGGTACAATACTTTCTAGTACCCAATCTGCTTCTGAAAATATTAAATGATCTATAGGTGGATGCTGCCATGATTTAGTGTGGTATGTAAAGCTATTCTTCTATTTCTTCCTGACTGAGCCTATTACTGTACGAAATGACGAATAAATTCTAGACGAATTTAAAGCTTGTTGATATTCTTCTGATAAACCAAATCTACATTGTTCGGCTGTCAAGCCCAAGGAACCAGTCAGACGGTTAGATGGGTATTTCTTGAACCAGTGCCCTCTTGAAATTCTTTCAAGAGATTTTAAATGTCTTTCACAATTCTGAGATTTTCCAACTAAGTCTCCACGAGCTGAAAAGGCAACTTTGCCTTCTTCTCGTATGTGTTGAGCAAGACTCCTGGGGGAAATCAACAATAAATTTAAGCTTCAGATAAGTTATAGAGCTACATTGAAGTAAACGCCATCAATTACGTAAGAACTTTGCTTACCTTAAAGGCAGGGGATAATCAAGATGCAATGGCCAATTTTGCAGTATCTTCAGGAACCTCTCATATAGTTTCGCCATACCATTTAACTTTAAATCGAGTAGTCCTGCACATTCATGAAACTATAGCAAGTGTTGAGTAAATGTTACAATCAATCATACAAAATAGAACCAAATTGTAACGAATAAACTCTAACCGAACGTCATGGAGTCAACGTGAAGTCATTGAGCCAACCAACATTGTGTTTACAACTAGCTTACACCTGCTTACACTACTTACTATGTTTACGCCGTAGAACGCTGGCCCGTGCTAGCGCTGGCCCGAGCTGGCGGCGGTGCGTTTACGCCGTGGGGCCAGGGTCTCCAGCTATCCCCACCATATTGCCCTGAGGAGGAGTGGGGGGAGCTGGATTTGTTGTGATTCTCTCGAGCCGGTTCGTAGAGTATCAAAATAAGAAAGGCTTCAAGTTTAGTTGTAATTTTAAGGCTGTTCGGCTGATTTTACAAAAGAAATGGCCGACCGAAATGTTGTGGCGACGTTGTCATTGCTTATGGCCTCTACAATTCAGGTAAAAGAACGAATAACCTGACTGGTAGGTTACGTTGCCCTAGGCGTACGATTCACAATATTGTTTATTTTGTTAATTTTCAGTCATTATTGGTTGCTGTCGTGAGAAGCCGTGCATTAAGAAGAAGAGCTCTATTTATGAGAAGAGTAGCCGAGTATTGTGCGAGAATGCGCCGCGCGCACCTGATGAGAGTTGCTGCGTTTAACCGTGAACGAAGACCGAAGAGGATGTGGAGACGTGCAAGATCCACCGACTGGTGGGACAGAATTGTTCCGGGTTTTACTGATGAGGAATTTGTAGAAAATTTTCGGATGAGGCGTCGAACTTATGAGTACATTTGTGACAGACTGAGACACCGTCTAGAACCTCAGCACAACCCTATCAATGGTGCCCAGGGACTATCTGTAGAAAAGGTAGTTGCGATTGCAATTTATAAAATGGCTTCTTTGACAGAGTACAGACAAGTTGGAAACCAGTTTGGGGTTCACAAAAGTACAGTGCACAACTGTCTGTATGCATTTTGTATAGCCGTCAATGATGAACTTGGAGCTGAACATATACGCATGCCTGATGAAGCAGAGGCTACTATCATAGCAAATCAATTTGAAGCGATTACTAACATTCCTCAAATAATTGGAGCTATAGATGGATCACATATTCCTATTACTGGGCCAGAGACTGGGCGTGCTGATTTCACTAACAGAAAAGGCTACTGTTCCTTTGTACTTCAAGCTTTAGTTGACTGTCAGTACCTTTTCAGAAATATTTCTATCAAAATGCCGGGATGTGCCCATGATGCTCATGTTTTTAGGGAAAGTGAGCTATTCAAAAATAGAGAAGAACTGATGCCTAAGGGAGTAAAAGAAGTGGATGGTATGCGCATACCGTTCTTTATTGTGGGAGATCCAGCATACCCTTTGTTACCGTGGGTCATCAAGAATTACAGTTATGATGGCAGAACAACCCGGGAGATGGACTCCTTTAATTGTCATATGAATCAGGGTAGGATTGTAGTCGAGAATGCTTTTGGACGTTTAAAAGCAAGGTGGCGTATTCTTTTAAGACAATCAGAGATCCATTATACTTTTATTCCTCAGCTAGTGGCCACTTGCTGTATCTTGCACAATATAATAGAAAGAAATAGGGACAATTTCAACCTCTTGTGGGACCAGGAAATTGCTAATGAAGCTGACATACCCCCTCAGCCAGATCTTGAGGCATATGAGGAGGAAAATGAACCAGACGGTGCAGATTTAAGACACCACCTCACAAGATATTTGGCCAGGAACTTTGAGCTACGCCGATCAATAAGATGGCATTATGCTGGTGTGTAATTTGTAATGGCTGTTAAAGGAAGCACATTTGACTTAAACCCTCCTTTTGCCTTTGTAAAAATTCATATTAATTAATAAAAGCACTTTTTACAGCTAGCACAGTGGTTCTTTACCTTCAAACACATAGGAGTTGTAAATTATGAAAAGTGATACTTTTACAAAGTAGCATTATTTTTATTGTCTAAAAACATACAAAGTAACCCGCAACCACAATTAGATTAGATCAAAAAGGAACTCAAAAATAATACCACAATAAAAATTCAAAATGTGTTGAATTTAAGTAGTAAGGTTTGTAAAAATTGCAAATAATTTGTTCATACAACAGAACTCTTTAAGTTAAAGAAGTTCAAAGGAACTTGACACCATCTAAAAATAATTGGCAATGTTATCCATTCTTAAAAGTACGGTTCAGAAAACAATTAAACATAACTTGTACACAACAGATCTCTTCAAGATAAAGAAGTTCAAAGGGACTTGGAATTGACAATAATGGAAAATATTATCCATTCTAAAAAGTGCACTTCATAAAAATTAAAAACAACTTGTGCATACAATAGAACTCTTCAAGATATGAAGACATTGAGAGAAAGTTGACACCATTTAAAAATAATTGACCATGTTATCCATGCTTAAAAGTACGGTTCATAATAAAAATTAAAAATATCTTGTACATATAACAGAACTCTTCATGTTGAAGAAGTTGAAAGAAAGGAACTTAACACCATTTAAAAAAATTGATAATGTCATGCATTGTCAAAAGTAAGGTACTTAAATAATAACACTACCTTGTCCACAGAACAAAATAAAAAGACAAAATACTAAAAACAAAATAATATGACAAGATACACTAATGAATACATATGAACGTAAATGTGACGAACTATTTTTTCGGCATCTCCTGAGAGGGAATTTTTATTAGTCTAGAAGTTGTCTGCCCGTTCCAGGGAATCACCTTTACTGGAGTCGAGACACTTTGGGCATTAGTTAACATGGTGTTGGCCTGGGGGGGAACTGGCAAATTTGGAGCCTGCATAAGAATTTGCGAACGTTGTGGCTGCTGGTGATGAACGGCTGGAGCAGCAGAGGGGTGCACTTGAACATTTGGAGATTGCACCTGCTGCTGAAGCAACTGCGGATATTGCACCTGCTGATGACCCATTGGTAGTGTTGGTGCAGCAGACGCAAACGGCTGCACTAACATTGCAGCAATCTGCTGCAGGCCAGTCATAAAATTACTAGAAATATTTTCTAACAGCTGGGCATCAGCTGCCTGCATTCTCTGCAGCTGTTCCTCTGTCCGCTGCTGGAACTTCTCCATTTTCGCCTCCTCCTGCTCATTCATCATCTGAAGGTATGATAAAGTAGCATTTGGCTTACCTGAAATGATAGAATCTTAACTAAGTAAGACAACATTCTGATCAACTTGATTTGAATGAAATATATTGTAACAGAGACTTACCACTCCTATACCTTCTACCAGTAGCAGCCGGGCTCTTCCCGCTGCTACTGGCACCATTGCTATTGGGATCTGCATTTTGATCATCAGCAGCAGTCTCCTGGCTCTCATAGCCACAGCTGCCAGGCACTGTGACATTTGGCCTGTCGCCAAATAATACTTTCAATTTCTCCTGATGCATTGCATCTAGCCTCCCTTCTCCACTTTTACTGTTATGTTTTTTAACATCTGTTAACGATCTTTTCAGCTTGCCAAATTTCGTCCTCACCTGTTTCCAGGTTTTGATCTCACCCACCTTGCGAGCATTAAGGTCTTCCGTTACTTTTTTATACAGTTTATGGTGGGGCAAGCGCCCCATCATGCCATCACGTTTCTCAACAATTTGATGTTCAATACACAGGTCTAATAGAACTCCCACTTCTCTTTGATTCCACACACATTTTTTTTTCTTCTTCTGTGGTTCATCATCGTCATCATCATCGTCATCATCCTCATCATCATCTTCATCATCATCCTCACGACCTGCACCAGGGCTGCGCGGTCGCTTGCTGCCCCCTTCATTTGGGGGCTTAGAATGGGAATTAAGGGATTGAGCCCCTCCAGCCTGGGCATTCTGCATTGTGAGAACTGGAAAAACCCAATTTACCAGTCAGTTTCAGTTTTACACTCAGTATAATGGCACTTTACTAAACAAAATTGGTCGTTTTGGCCTTCCCTGCGTTTGACCTACTTAACGTTTCTGTGGCCCATGTTTACTAACCTCGCACAAGTTGGACACCACCTTTTCCATCTGATACGTACTTCAATAACTGTCCGTCGACTGGCACGAAAGTATTAACTAGATCCATGATTAACAATCTAGAAAAAAATGACGCACCACAAAGTGTTAACATAAACTTGAGATGGGCGGACTTGCTGAAGTAGCCACGATCTTCAAAAGAACTATTCAGTAATTTAAAAATCCACTCACAGAAGATAGAGTTCGGAAGAACTGAGATCAGAAGAGGTTTTCAAATAAAAAAAGAAACAACAGCAGTATTCGAAAAAATTAACAAAATCACTTGTGCTGTGCTGCACTTGCCCGACTTGCACGCCACGCTGAGGACTCAGTGCTGATGCGAGTCGAGTGGTGAGTGGTGGGGGATGGCGTCTGCTTGGCCCCGGCGTGTACCGTTTACTCCGGGGCTAGGAGGTGGTGGGGGGCAGGCTAGCGCGTGCTAGCGAGCGGCTAGCCTCCGCTGGCCACGCGCCGTTTACGCCGGGGCCAACTTCCCCCACCACCGACATAGCACGGGCTAGCCCCCGCGGTGTAAACATAGTAACTACCTTATATCATAGATTAAATTTTCCATACTGGGCAGAGGGGCTCGTGATCGTTCCGTTCCTTACCTCACGCTTGGTTCTATTCTTGTTCCCTTAAGCCGTTCACACAGTAGTAGCACTTTCGTCGGTTTGAAAGCTGATTCAATTGAATTTTGAATTAATGGTCATTATCGACAATTTAATTGCGTTATCAAAGTGGGTTTGGTGTACAAACTGCACTGGCCATTAGATTTTGCCAGTTTTAACAAAGAACCAGAGTCCTTTTATTTTGACATGAATCAAACCCTTGTGGGTTAGGTTTCCATGAGATTCAATATCCAAGTGACAACAACACTGTTACTGCACTAATAGTTAAGCTCTACAGATACCTTGGTCATGAAAACCTGATGTGCCTTGTTTAAAACTTTTGCCAGTAAGGTTGTTTCCTCTCATCATGCGGGTGAGTTTAAATGAGCATCACTATTGTCACTGACATTATTTCAGAGTAGTTAACATTCAGCTTTGTATAACTTTTACACCTTTGGTGATTTCAGCGTGCCAAGCTTGCTCCGGGATCTTTTTCTGCTGGGTCCCTGCCAACAGCTACTGGCCATGTTACACCACGCTGCTTTGTCTGTGATGAGCTAATAAAATCTCATCGCCTGAGTACTTCACTTTTGGCAGGTCGTACTCAGTACACACACTCGCCTCTACCAACAAAAATTGGCGGGTACATTGGCGATGAGTTTATAGTCGTTGTCACTCCTCAAGATGCTCTGTGCAAACACTGCATGGCCTTAATTAATACCATGGATCGACTTGAGCTTGAACTCCGTCAGCACAGATATACACTTACTCAGCATCTCAAAATAAAATACAAATTAGGTGAGTATTACTTTGATTATAACAGTTAGTCCATAGTGTATTTCAGTATTTGTTTCTTAGTTTTCTCATGTTATTTTTTATGATTTCTCAAAAATATTTCCCAAAACTATAATTTAAAGATGGCCAATCAGCAAAACAATCCACAAAAATTGAGGTAATTTTTCTAATTTGTTCTGACTTTGTAAGCTAAGGTTTCATTTTCATTAGTAATGATATTATGGAAATAAAATCAGTTTTATCACAGTTGATATATTCTCATTTGTGGCAGGTCATTGAGGATGATGATGACCTTGATGAACCTGAAGTTATTGAAGTGTCAGATGAAGAATGGACTCCACACAAGAAGCAACGGACAGAATCAGTTAAACATCATCGATGCAGGTTATGCAATGCTAGTTATACAAATTTAAGCCTTTTCATGGCACACCTTAGTAGGCACAAGCAAATAGATAAAATTAAAGGTGCTGTACCCTTTGGGTCATCAGGTAAACCTGCAGTTAACAACAACAATGAAAGTTTTGTACAAATGAAGTTTAAGTGTGGTTGTTGTTCAGAGTACTTCCCTACAAAGGAAAGTTTGGCTCTTCACATGCAATTGCATACAGGGCCACAGACAAAGCCTAGAGTGAAAAGCAATCTTCCATCGCCCATAAACAATCCAGTTGGTGATTATGATTCATCTGGTCAGCTTCTCAAACTTGAGGCAACTGTGCAAACTTCTTCATTATTTGAAGATATTGAACAACTTTCCCAGCAGGATATTCCTTTATCAGAGGGTGTGTGTTTAGAAGAACAGAAAGGAAGAGTTTGTTTGCTAGCACTGCTTAATAATGGGGTTTGTTCTGACCTGTCTCATCGATCGTCTGCTGAAGTTGATCCACAGAATATACCTGTGCTTCCACCAGTGAGTTGTGTACCAAAAGTAAGTAATCAAAACAGTGAACAGACTATTTCCATCACTGTATCTATACCCAGTGCCATAAATGGAGGACAAATGACTGAACAGCATATTTCCCTGACATCAGTCTCTGAGTCAAGTTGTGTAAGAAATATGTCCTATCCTGTCACTCTGACTAACACATCAACTTTGCCATCATTATGTGGGAATCCAGCCTCAGAACCATGCATTCAAAGCAAGAAACCTATCCTTAGCAATCCAAAATTAGAACCAGGAAGTTTCAACACAAGTCAGAGAACAGGCCTGGACAATAATTTTGATATGCCTGACCTGTTGGACACTTCACTGGAAGATGTAAAGCTGAACAGTCAAACTGATCAACACTCAGTGCCAAGAAATGATGTCAGTTCTGACAAAATAACATGCACATGGAACAAAGGAAATGCTTATTCAACTACGACTGCTGTGAATGTTCCTTTAGATCCTGTTAGTGGAGAATCCCAAAGCTTAGATATGCCATCTTTGTTGGATGATGACTTATTGCCTTCCAGTGATAATACGAACCAAGAAATATTTGTACAAATGCCTGCCACATGCACTTTAAATCAAAATCCATCAAATATTTCATCACTACATCAAGCCAATGCTCCAAGTGAAGCCATCTTGTGTAATAATCCAAGAAAAGATTTAGAAGTGACTGCCCAGTCTAATTCCATACCGTTAGCCAGTGCCAACAAGAATGTGTCAGACACTAATAAAAATATAGCTGTGGTAAACGTTAAAAGTATTCCAATGAATAGAGACAGTTTTGACACAGAAAGTGATTGGTTCTACCCATCTTCAGATAAAGAGATTACATCTGTACTAGACAGCAAGAAGTTAAATGAGATGGAGCCACCCGTTCCAAGCTCCTGGTTTAATGACAGTGACTTTGCGCTTACAGGTAAAAAATAAATTAATATTGAAAACTGTGATTCTGGTATTTTTCCTATGTCAAGTGATCCTTGTGTTGATTCACAGAAAATGTCAACTGAGGATGGTAAATCTGCCAATGAACAAGAAGTAAGAAACATCATTTCTCCTTTAGTTTGAAGATGTCTGAGAGTAATCATTTTTGTGCAATATAGACTTGAGATTCAAGAAAGTTCTTCTTAATGGACAATTTGTTGTTTTGACCAAAAATATTCAATATATCTAACTAGTTTACAGTTTTGTCACAAACTCTGCTCATTCTGATTCAATTTCTCCCAGTCAGTTTTAAAGTGTTTTTCCCCCGATGGATGAATGTTCTTAAATGTTCTATTGTGGCAATTTGTTTATTCTGTTCTCCTTTTACTTTCATTCTGTCCACAACCTTTGCATTATTTCTTCATAAAGATAAAGTTTAAACATTTGTTTCATTGTGATATTTTTCCTAGCTCTTCAACCCATATTACCCTAAGAAAAAACTATATTAGTTTGCAATTTTAAATGTCTGAAATTTGTTGATAACTTTAAAAAGTTTAAGTTTGGCGCATACTGTATTGCTTTGGAAAGTTACCATATTTCCTATTTTTCTTTGTGATGTGTGACTTGTATTACATTTACTTAAAATATATAGCATCTAAATTAGCCTACCAAAAAATATAAGCTATATTTCTAAGTCTCCAAAGATGTTAATTGATCTATCAATAATGATGTACTTTAAACTGTGCTAGTCAACTGTTCTGTAACAGATAGTCATTGTATGTAGGTATGTAGACAAGTGAAGTGATAGTTACTATCTTTACACAGTACATAGTACAAAAGTATAGAATTTATGTACATTGAATGTGAGAACATCTGAAGGATGTTAAATAAAAATGCAAGTCAATGATACTGGTTAAACTTAGGTTGAAGGGCAGTAGGACTGAAAAAAAATAAAAGCTGCTCTTTTCTTTAGACTTGTTTTAATTCTCTCTCCATCCTTTAGGCTTTACCTGGCTGATTGCATTAACTCCTACAGATTTTAGAAGAACAAAAAAAGGGGAGGGGGTCTGACTAGTGTTATGGGTAATGTCATGGTAGAGAATAAAACAGGATTAATATTTTACACAAGTATCGACATTACCTATAGCACATTGGGGAATGTCCTCATAGGGCAAGTGATACAGTAGGCCTCTCAATCTTGAGATAGTAATTAATGATAATGCTCAAGTGAACAGGCACAAATTTGGTCAACCACAGAGAGACAATACCACTTTGTATTGTAGGGTTTCATTTTTCCAATGTACGTCTACCACAGGAACATAGGTCATAGTTTCTTAGTTCTAAATTTGAAAAAATAGATAATAATTCTCAATAACAAAAAAATGGGAAGGAGGCAAAGAAACCAGCCTGAATACCACAACAGTCATCCAGAGACTTCTGCTTTGAAAAGGGGGCAGATGGTGTCCAGGTTAAGGTGGCTTTGCATGACTAGCTTCATGAGGAGGAAAGCACAGTTGTCAACCAAAAATTGTATGATGCAACAGATGTTCTCCCTTCACAGACCAAGCTTGGGGCCAAGGCGGTACAAAAGTGAAAATATATTCTTCTATAAGTCAAATCAACAGACTATAATGGCTATTATTTCTCAACAAAGTAACTCATTATACATTTCTAATCATACCAATTTTCAGGTATCATGGGCTCCGCACCACCAAGAGTGACTGTAGCTACTGGTTGATACGATTCATCTAATACAATTTCAACAACTCTAGATTGTATATTTTGGTCACTTATCAGAGGATCTCTACTGCGAACTACAGGTGACTCTACCAAACTTAAGGTTGGAAAGCTCTCCGTATCAAACTCCCATTCTTTCACCTTGTCAGGTATGCTCTTGTCAGTAATGTCTAGTTTCAAATTTTCCAAAAACTTTTGACCAGTGAAGTCTTTTATGCCATGAACCTTAGAGAAAACACAAAAAGAGTAAAATCTCACAAGTTGTTCAAACTAGCATAGGTAAACAGGATCAAAATCACCCTGCAAAAAAGTATATACAAGAAATTGATAAAATTTACCTTTTCTAAATGTGATGCATATTTATGTCTAGCTGTAAAACCTCGTTTGCATGAATCACAGTTGAAAGGGTAGACACCAGTGTGCAAAATTATGTGTCTTTTAAGAGTTCCACTGACAGGAAATGTTAATGGACAATGTGGACACTTATAAGGGCGCTCTCCTGTGTGTTTCCGTTTATGAACTGCAAGTAAAGATGAATGCCTAGAACAAAAATAAATTCTACAATATTATGGATGTTGAAAAGATAAAGTCAGTCTTTCTCTGAAACCTAAAGGCAATAGGTGCATGTGAAGAAAAAGGAAAGTGCATGTTGTTTGCTTACTTGAAAAAGCGTCCACAAAAGCTGCATTTGTAGGGGTATGGAGTTTCATGCCACTTTCTATGAATCCAATACGTGCTTTGAAATGTAAACTTTTGACCACAGACATCACATACATATCTTTCTTCTTTCGTGTGACAACTACGGTGCTCCTCAAGCATCATTCGAGACATAAATCTGGAATTTTATCAAAGAGTCAGGTTTAATCTTTCCAGCATAATTTAGATTGTTGATATTTACTGTACTCACCCCCTACCACAGAAATCACAACAGTATTTAAATTGACCTGTGTGTGATGCCGCATGATGTCTTAAGCCAGTTTTGGTTTTAAAAATTCGTTTGCACTCTTGGCATTGGTGGTGGTTTGATTCTTGCATGTGACGTAACTCATGGTATTTTAAAGCTTTGGCTTTTTCAATTTTTTTCCCACAATAACGACATTGCCCAGCTTTGTTATGGTCCCACTTCACATGGTCATCCAAATCATCTTCATTTGTGAACTTTTTCAAACAAATTTTACATGAAAATTTAAAAACCTCAGAGTGGTTTTCTTCATGACTAGTACATGACTTCCTAGTTGGAAACATTTTAGAACAGAAGCGACATGAGAAGATACGCTTCCCCATAGAATGTTCTTGGGCTAAATGCTCTCGTAATGGTAAAGAATTGTCAAATTCCTGAGAACAGAATGGGCACTTTATAGCGTCAGCATTTTTGTGGCGTAAATCAATATGTGTGAGCAGTCGTTGTGTTGATGAAAACACCCTATTGCATATGGAGCACTTTTGAACCAGATTTCCCTGATGTACTTTCAGATGTCTCTTTAACACAAGTTCGATTGATGTATGAAAACTACAATAATCACAAGAAAGAACACTAGTTTCGGAATGTCCAGCTTCCAGATTGTTTTGAGCCAGTTCTGGTTCTGGCTTCATCTTGCAAAAATTCTGCTCAAATAACTCATTTTCATGAAGATTGCTGACATTACTTTCAAGAATAATACTACCAGCAGAATCATCAATTACAAATGGGAGTAACTGAATATTACCACTATTTGGATCTATTGTGGCATTGTGTAGCACCATACCATTCTAAAAAGGGAAAGGAAATATTTTCAATAAGCAATAGGAAATTTTGAGACAGATCGCTAGATAATATGATATTACATTTTACGACATAGTTACCTGAGACTGACAATCAGGAATACCATCAAGAGCATTGCTGATGTAAATATAGTTGTGCTGCTCAGCAGAATCCATCAAATTTGTTGTTAATTGACCATTGTCAATCTTCTCCTTTACTATGAGAGATGTCTCAAATGGATTAAAACCTAGAGATTCTAAGTTGTTACTTAATGAGTTATGATCAGTTTCAAGAGCTAATTGGTCTTTTTTATTATCTTTTATTTTAGACGTCAGATGGAGCATTTCATTTCTTGAGTCTATGTTTGAAGATCCACAGAATACTGTTTCATCTCTAAGAGGACCAGCAGAAATGTGTGCACTGCTTGTAACACTCATTGCTTGACTACTCACGCAACTACTTTTTTCTGCAACAGTTTGAACAGAGGCATGGGATGAGTTTGTTTCAGCATGAAGCTTTTCAAACAAATCTTCTAGGTCATCATCGATAGAACAGTCTCCTGCTACAGACACTGAAGAACTTTTAAGAACATCATCATGTGCTTCAGTAATATCTAAATGGTCTTGATGCTTATTTTCATTATGCATCTTCATGTGTTCTGTAAATAACATTTTGTTGAGGAAAGTTAAACCACAACTTGGACAGGGGTGGAATTCAATGTTGCTCCCATCAGAGTCAAAATTATCAACTTGCATTAGAGATTCCATGTAGTCATTCTCAAGTTTTCCTTTTGAGTCAACTTGATTATTGCAACTTGTATTTTCTTCACTCAAACAACCTAGTGTTAACTCACTTAACAACTTATTTTGAGAAGACAATTCAATGGAGCATTTCAGACATTTTTCTTGAACCAAATGCTTTTCCAAATGCCCATACAAATTTTTCTTCTGATTAAAGCTAGTCTGACATATAGCACAGTGATAACTTTGAACACTGTGTGTCAAAAGGTGTTTGGCCAAGATATCATCTTTTAAACTTGTGAAATTACACACATTACATGTATTTAAGTATCTGGTATGTATTGCCATATGTTTTGTCAACTTCTCTTCATCATCAAAATTTATAGAGCAGACTTTGCAAGATCCTAAATATGCAAACCTTCCTGTATTTTTGTCTGCTGGGTCACCAAGGTGAGCGCCACAGTCTGAACATAGGTTGTTTTGTTTCAAACAAAGTGCAGAGTGAATTTGCAATGCATCTTCATCTGCTGTACAAAAGTTGCAATTCTTGCAAGTGATACTTATGTTTTTTTTCTTTTTTGTAGATAATAAGCTCACTTGTTCAGATTTCCTTTTGCTCTCAGTTCCCATAAACTGAACAGGAAACTTGTCAGGTTTGCTATGAGTCGTCTCCTGATGCTATAGATAAAAGAGCAAAATTGGAAAATATATTAAGATTTAGAAAAGAAATACATTTCTTGATCACAATTTTTATGTTCATCTTACCTGATCAAAAACACATTCTATTTCATTGTTATCGAATTTAGCACAAATTTCTGCAAAGTAAATTATAGTAAGTAAAAAGAACTTTAGATCCCTTATGGAGAGGAAGATTTTTCAATGACAGACCATTTTGGTTAAGTTGATATTTTGAAGCAATAAAACCTGTAAGGGTTTGCTTAACTGTTTGAGCATCTGTTTCAAGTTTGTCAAGCTGGCTTATTAAAGATGCACATCGTGCACACATAATGTCTGCTACTCCAACCACCACCATGAAATTGTCTCCAATAAGCTGTCCAATTTTAGCAGGCAGACCAACATTTGAATAAGGAGTGCGTCCTAAAACAATTTGCACTCCATTTTTCTTGACTGTTCCATCACAAATAAAGCAAGAATTTTCGGGGGGAGGTCCTAAGGAAATAACTTCGTCAACCTAAAACAAAACGAAAACTGATAACTAGTTGTCGAGACTCTACTTATGATATATTATTCAACATCCATCATAAGTTAGAAAAGAAATTAGAAACCATCTGATATGTTTACTTCATATTTAAAAATACACTAGAAAGAAAAGATGAGACTTAAAGTAAAGCAAACAATTAAAAAAATTTTAAACTTAAAAAGACATTTGTGCTCCCTAAACTACATCAACATTAGGCAAAACTCTATTTGAGACAGTTTCTCTGACAGTTAAGTTCTCACACACCAGAGCTATAAGAATGACATCAATGTCTTTTTAAGAAATGTAATAGAGGGTATTTGGAGGAACAAACCTTCCTGTTCACCTTTTTCGAATTTCGCCTTTTTGACATGGTTGTAGAAATTGGAGAGCGTGTTACGAGTGAGCGCAGTCAGTCATATTTGTCCTCCTCCATGTCGCCTATTTTCTTTTAATGCAAACTACTTAACTTCAAACCATGACTTGTAACCTCTAAACATGAGGTAAAATTACTTGATTACTTTTACTTGTCTCAACTCAAAACAAATTATATTCATAGGGATCCAAGACTCCGACTCGAACAACCCGACCCGACTCGACCCCGAACCGAATACAACCCGACAACCGAAAACCGAACCGAAGCCGACCGAACTTCAGGTTCGGGAAACCGAATCATCGGATCACTGATCCTAGGAAATAACCCCGCACCTATCTGACTTTAAGAAATCTGGAATGTCAACAGTTTAGCACAGAGGATTCGGCAGCACAATAATCTTATTTGCTATTGCAGTCAATCGAGTAAGTTCTTTGCAATTAAAGCAATACTTCAATTAAAGAACAAGGTTGGCAAGCTAGAACTCAAACTGTTCACCGTCTACTGCGAATAATCTGCGACACTATACGGCCAGTCGGCCTCTCAAGACAAATTTCAATTATTGAAATTGACAAGATTGTGTGTTTAGCTTACCTGTCAACGTCCTTCTTTTGACTGGTCCAAAACTCACAAATTTTCTGAGTAGCGCTTAAAGCTTAAACTGTTCTTATTGAAGGTGATAATTTGCTTGTTTTATGTTAACTGTAACCTCTCATATCACCATGCACAATCAGACAAAATTCCATCCTGTTTCAAAGTCTAAGATATATACCTTTTTTCTTGTTGACATCTGTTTTCAATCGTGGAAATCGTTTTATAGCCTACAATTAAAATATTTCACTTCAGCGTCTCCAATCCCATTTCTAGTTATGCTCTAAAGTCATTTGATGATTCAAATCCCTTCCGTTTTGAAGTCACTTAACATTTTTGTCTGTCACTCTAAATTGGTTCTTGCTAACCTGAATAGTTTGACAGTGTTTGGGTCTTACATCCTTACTGATGCAGTTATCAGCAAGATACCAAATGCAGCCTCTTTATTTACTATCTAATCTGGTTACAGGTATCATAATGTCGTCGAGTAATAAATGTACCAACTGTGGATCCTTGGACTTGGACACTGATCCAGCACGAGGAGATGTAGTCTGCACGAATTGTGGTACTGTTTTGGAGCATAGTGCCATAGTATCTGAGGTTCAATTTGAAGAAAATGCCCACGGTGGCTCATCAGCAATTGGTCAATTTGTATCATCAGACTCCAAAGGGGGAGCACGAGGATTTGGTCAATGTGAGTCCCAAACAGATACTGTATGTCGACTTTTTATTATTTCCAGTAATTAACCTGTGTTTTTAACCTGTGTTTTTACAGCCTTTCACACTGGTCTTGGTAAGGAGTCTAGAGAAATAACTCAGCAAAATGCCAAAAAAGCAATAACCAATTTGGCTCACCAATTACGGTAAGGATCAGTATAACTCAATCGGTAATATTTTTTTTTTTTCTATCTTAAACTCTGTCTTACATTTAGTCTTGTTTTGTTGTGTTTGCTTCTAGAGGGCTAAACCAATTATGTGTTGAGACTGCCTTCAATTTTTTTAAGATGGCATTGTCAAGGCAACTAACCAGAGGGCGAAGAAGCACGCATGTAATTGCTGCTTGTTTATATATGACATGTCGAATAGAAGGAACAGCTCGTATCCTTTACAGCAGCAGGAAACTGAGTTCTCTATAATACTATTTCATAGTTGTTGGTGGCAAAGATGTACTTTATTTTCCTTAAAAGACCTTTAGATATGTTAATTGATTTTAGTGATGTTCTTCAAATTGATGTCTATGAGCTGGGTCGGACCTACCTTCGTTTGTCTCAAGCTCTTAGCTTGGCCATCCCATCAATGGGTGAGTAAATTGTCTGTGTGCTCTTGCTTTGGGGTCTTTCCATGAACTGTAGGCAAATTTCTTAATGATTTGAAATTAATTTTATTCTGTCTCTTTTGCTACATAGTCTATAAAGCTCAATACATATTTGCTCTTGAAACTCAAAAACATGCTATAATTTGAGTGCAGTTGACCAAACCAATTTAAGGAGTTATGACAAGGAGACAATTGACAAAGATATACGTAGCTAAAGATGAAATTTGAAAGTGAACATTAAATTGCTGACCTAACAAGTTTACATTAGCTAAGTAGCAGTGTGATGAAAATTCATTATTACTCATGAATTTAATTTTCTATTTTAGTGACATTACTTTTCACTTTTACTTGTCATAAACCGAATCTATAAGTATGCCTACTTGTAAGCACTGGTTCTTAGATCATTTTTCTACTCTCAAATTGAGTATTTGTCCACTGACCCCTCATCTTGAAAAGATAAATCCACTTTATGGATGTCTACTATTTTAACAACTAATTAGGTAACTCTTTAGTACATTGTGCAATAAGAAGTTGAAAAAGGAAAATCTCGTGCTGAATAGCAGGTTATTCAGAGTAGAGGTAATCAAAAGGCTCCTACCCAAAGTGGTATGTTCATCCTTTGTACCAGATTTGAACGAACTGTCACTGTCTCCTGTGTTATTAGATATCATAACTTGTCAGGCGAGTCTGTATTTTACCCTGGTAGTAGGTCAAGTTGATCATTGTGCCCAATAATGACACGTAGTTCATAACAATATACATATCAATGAATCGAATTAGTATTGCACAGCCACACTTTTCATAACATATATACAAATTTAACAGGGTAACAATTATCTCCATTTTAAAAATAACTCCACATTGCATTTTTATCTTTTATATGTACAACCTTGGCAAATCTTTCTTACACTCTATTTCTATTGGTGTTATGATTGTAGGGTAGGGTTCAATAATAGTGAAAAATATTTTGGGGCCATTCATTTACACATACTTATTAAAATGCACCGTTGTCATTGCAGCAACCTATGCAATGTATCTCTCAAAAGCTGTATATTTCTACTCACACACAGTAATAAACATTACTTGTGAATAGATTCATTTTTTTTCATCTTTAAATATTATTGCAGTTATCAAAACTAATTCAGATTGATTTTGTCTTGACAAATATATTCATTCAGGATTTTGCCTACATTTTCTCACTGCATGATAACATTATCATAAACTTAGATTAAAATGGAGAGGTTTGTCAGTGTGAGCTCATGAAAGAAAATAAATTATTGTTTACATGTCCTCACAAAATTCTTAAAATCATACAGTGGTACTTGCAGAAATAAATAACTATTTATTTCTTTAATAAGAAGAAATTAAAGAAACATTACCAAGAAAGCTAAATTTTATTTTTAGGAACCTTTGATTCACTTTAAATCTACCGGTAGTTTTATGTTGATTTAATTAAAACTTGCAACCTTTTGCTGCAAGTGCAGTTTGAGTACATTCTTTCTGAGCTGAAGACTGGTAACCTGGCATTAGAGCAGAAAATTTATTCTAAAGCACATGCCTTGCACTCATACAGTCCCAACCACTTGCTAAAGCACATACGGTTTTGAGGAAAATTTTGACTGGGTTTCTAAGTTTACTTTGCTTTTTGGTCTCATTTTGACTGTCACAAATAGGAGCTAAGTTAAGAGAATTTCCTCTCAAAGTTTTCTTTGTGATCTTATTTGACTTCATATTGCCTTTTGGTTGAGCTCTGTGGAACATGTGCCTCAAAAGTGAAATTAGGCGTCTGACTGCCAGGCCCAGGCGGAATGAGTATCAGTGATCTTCAGGTGGTTGAGTGGGTCCATAGAAAATCAGTTCTGGTATCTGACCTCCTTGAACTCCTGTACCATTAGTGCTCTCAGATGAACATTGGAACTGGAAAGTAACAGCACCAACTGCAGCTTCACTCATTCCTTCTTGACCAAAGTAGCTGAGCTCTACTCCGTCAAGTATTGCTGATGCTGTGTAATAACTCTCAGGCTCAACCTGCAAGAAAATATAAAATCTGTTACAACTGAAAAATATTTGCATGTCCATTTGTTGTTTTCTCTTGCATTAAGTTAATTTTCTTGCCTGAATGGGATGCTCAAAGTATACATGGAATGTATTACTTGAACCATCAGAGAAAAATTTTGTGTTGTGTTCAGCTAGTACACGTCCTAGACGCTTCAATTCAATTTTTACTGTGTAGTCTGCCGCACCATTTGAGGATCCGTAAAGACCAAAACCAACAACAAAAATCCTCTTGTCAACACTGAACTGAATCGAATCACATCGACCTCTGTAACGCCATTGGTTACTGCGGTATGCACATGACTGGAATCTGTGACAAACCTGTAAAAAATAATTACTTGATTAACTTGATCAACTTATGCATTAATGGATCTACACTATGTTACTTTTAGTAGTATAGTAGTTTCTCTTACCTGAGGCTTCAAACCCGCACGAGTCCTAGTAGGGAATGAAAGGTTGGGCTTACTGTGAGCCGTGAAGTGGAGAAAAATATCTATAGTTTCTTCTGGTGTTAAAACACCCAACTGTGCTGCATGATTAGCAAAGTCTTCCAAACTCATTGTTGGTAAACGGATTAGAAAAAGAGCAGAATTTAAAACTGCTCTTTTGTTTTCTAACAGGAAAAACCTAGTATTTTAATTGCTGTTGGAAGTACATTTAAGAACAAAATAAGTAAAAACAATAGCATACCTGGTGTAGGGTCTATTTCCTTCCGAAGGCATTCAGCTCCCGCCCAGTTGAGAGCAGCCTCAAACAGATGCATCTCTTTGCAGTTCAGTGTTTCTCTTGACAAGACTGATTCCAATGTTGCCATGTCAATATCAACAAATCCTTCAGATCTTAATGCCATCTCCGCCTAGAAAAAACATAATTTTACTTGAGCATTATATTTTTATGTGATGGAACTAATATTTCCGCTCAATTAATAGCTTGTGAATTTGTTATGAATGTATTTTGTAGTTAATACTTTGGATGTCTTAGAATTATTTAGTATTAAATCCCAGGAGAGGGTATAGGTCTAGAAAAGGAAAAAAAAGTGTCCGCTTCCTTGCACTTTTTATTATTGCATATCACAAGCTTTCACAAATGACTAGATACGTAACTTACTGAATTATGAGGCTATGGTCTAAACATTTGAAATGGGACTATAACAATCTTGACTAGACTCCAGATTTGCATTTAAAAGGTTGCAGGCCTAAAGTATTCTTTCCCACATAATATCTTCTGTTTGTACTTTTTCAGTATTAGTTGAAATATTTGAGAATTTAAAGATAAGCTTCAGTCTCATCATCCTCGCAATCATTTGCTCCACAGGCACGTACCTGGGCATCGATGACTTCCCAGCAACGTTGCATTAGGTCTGGTTCTTCAAAAAGTCTTGATTGGCTTAGTAAGAGACATGCATTTTTTGCTGTCAAACTGGTCTCCAGGTAGTTGACACATGCTCGTGCTAAGTGAGGGACAATATATTTTTTAGCTACATACAAAGTAGCAAGGACTGTGTCAGCTTCGAGATGAATTTCATCACAGTATAAATATCTAGAATGGGCAACAGTTAATGTTTAAAAAACATTAAAATGATTTCCAATTATACATTATATTTAATTAAAGTAAAAATGATTTCTATTTTAACTTACTTTAACAATGTGAGGAAAGCTGATGGCTCGACATCTGGCACTTCAATTTCCTCTTTATCCTCAGCAAGACCTCCATAAAACATGGCATAAAATACAGAGCTGCCTGTGGCAAGCACATACTTGTGAGCTGGAATGCATTGTGTATGACCTAGGGCAAAGCATAAAAAATATTTGAAACCTTTGACTTGATAACAAGTTTGATTTACAATAAGAAATTATACTCACCAGGATTTCCTACTACAAAACGAACATCAGCCATAAGTTCATTATTGAACATAGCTGCATTGCGCTCACGCACACTTGGTTTTGTTGCCTGCCAGTTGGGGTCAATTGTCCCTTCTCCATGTTGCAGCAAGAGACATGGGCTACTGTTGCTAGCTGTATTGGTGCTACTGTTGTTGCTTGTAGTGGCTTCTGAACTGCAGCTTGCTACATTGAGACTAAATGTTGTGCTCGTGGTTGAGGTCAGGTTGGGTGATGCGAGAGGGGATGTCGGTGCACTAGCTGGCTGGAGGATCTGCATGGCTTCCCGTTGAGAAACACTGTGTGGTGGCGTAATGGAGAATCCTCCATTGTTACAACTTTCAGCTGAAACAAAAGACGTTTGTTAACAAGTCAATTTCATTAATTCAGTTTTAAAACTGCTCAAGCAACTGGACAGTGCGTCTTCTCTCCCTGGAGATGTCAACTAGCACCTTTGTTTGGGCACAAGTCCTGCTCCTGGAAGGGCAGCTTCATGGCACAACTGCTTTGACCTGACCCTCACGGCGCGTCGGGTGCACACCGAGTGCACACACGAGCCCGGCAGGACCAGCACCAGCCGCCCGGCCCGAGCGCACCACACCCAGTTACCTAACCGCTGTAACACCTTCAGTGAAAGTGGTCGAGACTTCCCAGGGAAGGGATTTGTGTGTGTGTGGAGGGAGGGGGGGGGGGAGCAGGAATGGGGGTGTGTGCATCCGAGCCGTCTGTCGAGCGCAGTGCAATGTGCAGAGTCCTTAGCGCGGGTGGGGGCTCTGGATGCAGCCCGACGGCCTCCTATCGCCATCCGGGGGGGTGCCTTACCCCAAACTAGCCCTCAGAGTCTATCAAAACAAACCTGGGCAGACGACGGGCCAGACTGGGGGCCCAGGCCAGGCCACGGTCTAACAAGCTTTTGGGCCCGCGCTCGAGGACTCACCGTTGACCCAGGCGTTGGTCTGGGTGACGGACAGCTCTCGGTAGCGCTGTTTATCGGGCTTGGGCGCGATCTTGGAGTACAGGTTGGACATAGCCATGGCTGAGAGCGGGTCGATGACTGCTCAGCCCCTCTCTGTCGCCATCTTGTACTGCGTGTTGTCTACTACTGCAGCAGACGAGCAGACGGACCAACGCTAGGCTTTTGTGATCGATAGAGCTTCGGCTGCGGGCCGCCGCGAGCGCTGCAGTCGTTCGGCTGGGCTCGTTCGGGCCCGGCGGTCCGCCCATCCTCCGTGTGCCCGTCCGTGTTACGCCATACAGTGGGCGGGGGGCGCGG